GATCTTGATGTCCACGCGGATGCCATGCCACTGCTGATCCTTGGGCGGCAGATCGCGGTTCACCAACCACAAAGTCCTGTCACGGTTGCTCCAATCCCTAGCTGCACCGGCCAGAACATGGAGGAGTTCAGGATCCACCTGATCAACCTTCGGCACCCCATCATTGGTCAAAAGGACCCACAACTCATCTTCCAAACCGGGACGTTGGTCTTCATCGTACCTGGATTTGGACAAGAGCTGGGGCGGCGGACGATTTGGTGGTGGTGGATGATCAGGAGTGCGCGGACTCACAGGCTTCGGCGGAGGTGGTGGAGTCTTCGGCATCGTAGGAGCCGTCTTCACTGTTGATCTGGTCGGACGAGTCGGACTCCTAGACCTAGTTGGCCTCTGGTTGGGTTCTGATGTACCAGCCGACTTTCTCCTCCTCAATGGGCTACGGGACCGCGGATTGCGATTTGCAAGCGTCGTCACGGCATCTGTCAACCTCTTGAGGGCTTGCAGAATCTCTTGGCTTCCGCTCGAAGTTTCTTCCGCTGGAATCTCTGGCTCTTCAACCTCAACCTCTTCTATCTCTTCTTCAACCTCTTGTTCGTCCAACTTGGTGTCGTCTTCATGGCTGTTAGCATCATCAAAATCCGGAACCGGCCTCACAGACGAGGTCACGGCAGCGCTCGGCATTGGTTTGCTCTTTCGAGATGCCACGGCGTCACTCGCCTTCGGCGGTCGTGAAGATGAAGATGGCCTCGAAAGTACTGGAGGGCAGGCTTTGGGTGGAAGTGGACGGGCCTTTGCACTGGTGCTGCGAATAGCCTCTTCTCGTGTTGGTGGTGGTGCTGTTGAACGTTCACCGGATCGCCACGGCACGTGGTCGTCCGCATCACCTCGAACAGCTCTTGGAGTGTGAACATTCATTGTATGTGCTGGAGTCAATGTCACAGTTGTATCGCCGAAAAGCGGCCCACAAAGAGTGCAACGTCCTCCACACGACATCTCACGCCATTCAGGCGAGTGAGAATGAATCACAACACACGTGAAGCCCTTCGAAGCAAGATGCCTGTGGATCAACATGCTTCCGCCCACAGAACGATGACGCCCTGACTTGCAGCGCACATCCAAAACTCCCTTGTCATGGCGCTCCACAAAGTCGTCCACCTCACGAAAGATGCGGTCAAGACCTCTCTGATCCCTCCTAAGACCATTCAAAATGGCCGGATGCCTTCCCACGTGTCCACGCAACGAAGGATCTTGGTCGGGATCCCACAGCGACTTGGCGTTGATGTACTTCACGGGGATACCACTGCCAACATGCTCTGCCAACCTGTCTTCAAACCGGTCACCTCCTGTGACCAGCAAAAACTCACGGCTCTTCAAATTGCCAATGATGCTGCCAAGCGCACGATGGATACCTTCGGCAGTCTGGGCTTGGTACCCTCGCTCTGCCGTATCCAATCTCTCCATCGGAGTATCGAAGGCTGTGAGGGCGACACGAAATTTGCGATGACACTTTGGAATCTTTTGGGGCATGGTGGCTTCGAAACTTTGGACCAATTGTTGAGGGGTAATTGCCAACATCATCAAACCGGTGTGCATGCATCTGAACACTTTGAGGCGTTTTCCATTGATGCTAATGATACCATTCTTGAGGTCCTTTACTAGTCCCAAGTGTGCCTGAGCATGAAGAGACAAAAGCAGCGGAGATCGACCTTTCGACAGCTGGTGGGATTCAAGAACACCATGCACTGGATCTCCCTCGTTGAAGTGCAACGAAAAGGGTAATGTGCGGGATCCTTCTGTAGTGGTCCCTTTTTCACCTAATCCGGCAAAGTTCTTCGACGTTGTGGTTGAGAAAGGGAAATCATACCCCAGCTTCTTCAGTTTGGCTTCCACGACGTCTCCCCAGTGCTTTGAATGGCAGGTGGAATTACATCCCTCGTCGAGAACGACGTAGATGTTCCCGTCGTCTGGGCTGTACATGTCCCTGGCTTCGTGAAATATGTGCACTAAACCATCTGTCATCTGGGTAGGTTCCTCCCCATGAAAGCAAATGCCGATCCCTGCAAAGGGGTCTGGATCTTCGGTGTAATCAATCATCGTGAACGAGTCTCCTTTGCTCTCTTCGATGGACTGGTGGAGGAGCTCGTGCAGCTTGATCGAAGTCACTGCCTCGGTTTCGGCTGCCAACGCGACTTGGGCGGCAAATTCAGTCAAAATCTTCTCTAGCATCTCGGGGGTGTGTCCTTCTTCGGGTTCCTCTTCAACCAAACGTTCAATCATTGGGATCCTATCGAGCGGTGCGTTGACGACTTTCTCAGAGGCTGCCTTCCTAGTCTTTTGGAGCTCCATCGGAGTCTCATCCAAAAACGAACAACAAAGCTTGCAAAACACACGGTGAACAGACCTGGAAGAACCTCGAAAATCGGTGTCCGAGTGCGGGCAATCGTCATATGCAAACTTCGGGGCTTGCTCTCTACGCTCGGTGGTGGAATTCCCACAGACAAGGCATGTCTTCTTGATGGTGTATGCTGTGCTCCCTTGTTTGGTGAACTCGGAACAATTCTTGCATTTCTCTTTTGGTGGATATGGTGGTTTCTTCCTTGAGGACCCTTTTGGGATAGGCTGCAATGACGATGAAGAAGAAGCACCACCAACCTTCCTGAAAACTGAAGCTCCCCTGTATTCAAAATGCTGATCAACCCACGTGACGAAAGCCGAAGCGATTGGACTCTTGCCATTCTTGATGGCCCATTGATGGTAGTCAGGATGTTCATGAAGGATCTGCCAAAATGTCTTCCCCCTGAACTGTCCAGCTAAGAACTTCCTATCGCTCCCCTCAGGCCTTACGAGGTCGTTGGGACTCACTGGTGCCTCCGGACGAACTCCTGAGCTGGCCTTCACGGCCATGTGAGCAATGCTATTCTTTGGAGACGCTGCATCTAGGAAAATCCCTTCGTCCTCGGATGAATCACTCATGTGGGCAATGTGTGCAGCAGGTTTCGGGGCCGATCCAGTCTTCGGGGCATTGGGCATCTTACATTGGGGATCTCCGGCCCAATGACCTAATCCACCACAACGAAGACACTTGGATTTCGCCTTGATCTCTGACAGTTTCTGGCGGCGTTGCTCGATGCTCAGGTGAGACTTCACTATCTTACCTTTACCTTTCCCCTTAGGTTTACCCTTGCCTTTGCCTTTTGCCTTTCCGAAAGCGACGAATGCGGCAAGCTGCAATTGGATAGCATCACCTGAGGAACGTTCTTCGGCATCTTCGCAATCAACTACTGCATTCAAGGCAATTGCTTCATATTCATCAACATCATCATGATACTCAAAATCCTCGTATTCAGTATGGCTAGGGTGTTCATGTTCTTCAGACTCTTCAACCCCTCCTAGCATGCCTACGAAAGAATCTTCTTCATGATGATGCTCCTGCAAGTCCTCATCTCTCCAATCGAAATTGTCTTCCCAATCGGGATAGACGGCATTGTAACCAGCACGAGGGTATTGGCTACCTTTACCTTTACCTTGGTACCCCTTCTGGTACCCTTTGCCTTTGCCTACCTGAGGCTGAATTCCCCGTCCTGTCCAGGATCGGGACCCTTCACGAAGATGGATTCCACTGTAGTTGTCAACCAGGACTCGTGCAGTACCTTCGAAGTCATCGTTCTTGCGGCAAGCCTTCACCACAAGGATCTCCTGCCTGGAGATACCTGACATCTCCAACAATAGCTCTGTGCGGAAAGCCTCTGAGATCATCATTGTGGGGTCAAGCTCAACCAACAAGGTCCACCAACGTCGTCGACGCTGAGTGTACGACAACATGCTCTCCGTAGGCTGTCTCGACAGTGGTCCTCCATGCTTCTGTCCTGCGCGAAAAAGCTCCTTACTCTCCTCCAAGGCTCGAGGAAACACATGATTACGTATCACCTCGATGAGACGCTCCAGTCCCCCTGGACGTGCAAGTGTCTCTAGACCTAAGTCTCTGGCAAGCAAAAAGGCATCACCTCTCAAACCTTCTACAATCTTGTTCACTAGGATACTGCGATCGATGATACTCGACTTGTCTGACTTAACGGACGAAGCCTTCGGTGATGTTGCATCAACCTTCGACTTGGGAGTACCGGCAGTCTCACGCGGCTCGGGCTCAAACTCCTCGGGATAGTGTCCAGGCGAAGGGAATGCGAATCCTTCGTCTGACTCTGGTGGCCAAGGCTCCCCTTCGTCGGCAGGTCCAGTCACGGGATCCTGCTTCTTTGCTGGTTGCGTTTGGGCTTGGTCGTACAGCTTGATGCGGAGTTCGGTTCGAAATTTCCAGTCATGAAATGATGCAGGATCTCCCCAATAGATGTAAGACCCACTCTTAGTTTCCAGGGGGTTGCCTATTCTATCACCAGCGCTACCCGAATGGAACTTGAGTCCAGCAATGGACATGTTCGACGGTTCCGACGGAGATTGCTCGGGCGAGCAATCTATTCCGGGCTCTGTCCCCAACGGGATCAGAGGAGGCAAGCGAAAGCACGCAAGGAATGCAAGCTCAGGCTTGATGTTCTACGATTCCAATGACCTGGATCAGTACGTGCCGGAGTCAGGCCGTCACCTGCTCCGCTACCAATGTCGGTAGCAACCGGAATCGTACTGTCCACACGCTCTTTTCACTGCGAAAGCGAGCACGGTATAGAAGGGCCCTAGGAGCCAAACGGCGGCAGACACAACATAGTGTGACAACCTGGCTCAACAGAATGAGATCCTACCTCAAATTCACAATATTATATATATATATATATGGCAAGGAAGTTCTAGAGGGATTTCCCAGCATAAGGGGGGTGCTATCCAAATTGACGACACCTAGTCCAAGCCATTGGGGTCAACGGACGGTTGTTCAGTATCAGTCCTCATTGCTTTCATCCGGGACATGTTCTGACCCATGGAGGTTAGTCCACTCAATTATTATGAAAAACACCTTGTGCAGCACCTCCTTCGTGTTTACTTTGCCGGCAAAGCACCGAGCCAGCTCTGCATCATAGTCACCTTGATGGCGCCAGCCGTTTTTTGCTGCCATGACGAGGGGCGACAATGGGAAGGGATGTGACAGACGGTCGGCCAGGGTGACAGTTTTTGCTGCCCTTTTCCCACTGCCAAGTTGTTAAAGGCTTGAATTTCTGGCCGGTCATGATCTTCATGCTATTTATTGTGGTTCTGAAGTAGGTAGAAACGGTTTCCAATACATGTGTAGTGACGTGTGGGTTTACTTTCTAATCTTTTCTACCTACTGCTTGGGGGTCTATACAAGTGACCAAGTTCATGGAGTTCTTGGCTGAGACTGAAGCCACTGGAAGCAGTTTTGACTCGTCACTAACTGCATCCAAAACGCACACCAAAAACACCGGATACTGGCGATATCTCCAGATCAAGCTCCGGATATCTTGGTCCACCTCCTCCTTCTGCTTCTTATGCCCATAAGTTTGGTGTGAGATGAAGAGCTGGACTAGTCCGGGTCAGTTAAGCAAACACCTCGTGGAGCACAGTCGAGCACATCTCATGGCAAAGGTCCCCTTTGACTCAATGGGAGTCTAAAGCTAAGAAGATAAAATCTGTTCTGGACTGATTCCGTCAGCCTAGCGCAAGAAGCCAACGAAACCACTGCCGGCATCTGCCGAATACAACCGTGTTCTTCAGCATGCTCTAACAGCACAACCTCACGACCCCTCCAGTCTGAACCAAAAGAGAGTATACAAATAAAGTATTGAACCCCCATCCATCCGGAGCGTCCCCCCCCAAAAAAAGGTTCGAAAAAAGAAGGCCCTTCCCAGTCCGTGCCCCCGTCCTTCCAAGTTGGTTTGCGGCGAGGCCTGCACGGATGGGAGCATCTCCTTGGTGTGGCTGGCGAGGTGAGGAAACCAAAAAAACCTCCTGCGACTCAAGATGGGCTCTCAAAACCACAGGGTTGTAGAAGAAACAGTCTTCAGGATCAAGGTTGATGTTACCGTATGCAGGGAAGTACGCAAGTGCAATCATGGGGCCCTTTGACATGGAAAACCAATCCAGTCTATTCAAAGGGCCTGAGTGGTGCAGCGTGGTGAAGGAGACCCGGCCCTGCACCCCCAGCTTGGAGACCACAGGCATACGAGACCGGGTCCGTTTTCTGGGACCAACGTACGCTACCACTGGCGATGCGGGGATCAGATTCAATTCATGTTGAAACCTCTCTCTCAACAGCACTGACCGTTTTTCGCTGTCCGCTTCATCTTCTCATTCCCAGAATCCAAGACCTTGTGGTACTGGATCGCCCCGAGCACTGTGCGCGAGACCGTCCTGGGCGCGGGTTCCCGCTCGGACGGTCTTGGTGGGGTCCTTCGGCCCCTGTCTCCGGGCGGAGGAGCTTCGCCTCCAAAACCCGCGGGGCACTGGTCCAAAATGATCATGGATGGCGTTGGGTAATCGGATTTCAGGGTCATCTAACAGGCCATCCAATGGATGTAAACCACATCAACTTCAATCCCCTAGGATGGTCAAACCTCTTCATAGGGCTAGGGGAGTCATACCCTTCAACTTCTGTTTTTTGGCGCACTGCTCATTTGACATCATCCCAAAAAAATGATAAAAGATGTTCGGCCCTTGTGTTTCCAGCATGTACAAGATCTGTCTGGGTTCCCTTCTCTTCTTGCTTCCTTCCGGAAGGCCCGAAGGCGCCCCGAGCTCGCGGCGCCCGAGCCTTCCGTCCGGGGCGCTGGGAGCGCTGGGAGGCCCAGAAACGCACCTCGAAGATCAGCTCTCGGATCTCCTTGGCCTTCGTCCAGTCCTTTCCGCCCCGCGTCCAGTGGTGAACATCGCCGTGGACGCGTAGTGCTGTGGATCGGATCTGGAGGGGGATTGCAGGTTGAACTGGCGTTGATACATAAAATACACAGTACATCACAGTACATGTTTGTAGAAGTGGTGTGGTGCTGTTCAATATCAACAAAATAGAGATTTGGTGAAAGGAAGTGTGGAGTCTTAGAGGTCTTCCTCAGTGCTCGATCGTCCAAACTGCATGGTTCAATGCAGGCTGCTCACCGATACGAGAATCACTTCGGCACTGGTGCGGGGGTGGTGTATGGTGACAACACAGTTTGTCAAGTTCACGCCGAACGCATGGCACTCCTACTGGCACTCCTTCATTTAGCCATGAAAAAGCAAACAGTTCCTGCGTCATCAAGTTTGGCACTCCTGATCCACCTCAGCTTGCCGGACCCATTCATGAAGCTCTCCACAGGTGAAGGAGTTGTAAAGCTCTCGTGGTGCCATCCCTTGCTTCCGCGCGAAGATCTCCCATTGATCTTCTGCCTTCGAGCAAGCGAACGCCGAACGCGAGGCGGTCGGCCCGGACACGGTGAGATCGTATGCGAAGATCACCCAAGATCACCCGCGCCTGTGAAATGGTGAAGCCCAGGTTGCTGTTGCGGCCATCGGAGGCACATAAGAACTCCTCGCTCAAAAGCACCTGCATGTGTTTCTGCGTCATGGGAACTTGCATCATGGCAAGCAAGAATTCGAGGGTTTGGGGTCGCGCTATGGCATGTTTTTGCACAGCAGGGACTTGGTTTGCATCAAGATCCATGGTAGCTCTCGTTTGCCAGGCTCATGCTGATGAGAGGTGCTGCAGAAGAAAAGGAAAAAAATGGAGACACATGGACTTACCAAACTCACAAATCTCAGCAGTCAAGCCAAGACAAGCTTGTGTGCTTTTCTCGAGGCCGAGTGACCGCCCAGTCTATTTAGCACCAACCAGCTACATAATAAGATATAAACCAGCAACCTCCAACAGGTCACCACCTGCCACTTCTATGTCTGCAAAAGCCACCAGAGGAGACCTGTTGGAGGGTGCTGGAATAGAACATATATATATATTTGTAAATATTTGTAAATATAATTACAACTATATAACTTAAATAACCCCAACCCCAGGCCTATCAAAGTAGGGGTCTGATGAATCAAACGGTTTCTTGGTTGGATCATGTTGGATCACAAATTTTACCTAATTATTGCAAATTGGATGTTAATCCATAAGAATTGACGACATGTTGATGGCTGACTTTTTGCGGAGCGCCAGCCTGCTCCTCGTAGACCGGCACCACCTGCCCGCTCCATGCGGGTTGGAGCGAGCACGACGACTATTCGCGGTTTGGGTGCGTGACTCGGTAGGGGAACCTTCGTTTTTTTCCGTCAATGCCGAATCCTAGGTCCTAGAGATTGGTTTAGTAGTGGGAACCATGGCAACTCATTCCTGGTGGAAGGCCAACAAAAAAGGCGATGGAGAACATGTTCTGATGGGTCGAAGCCCGCGCCATAGCCACAATGAACAGCCATGTCTCACTAGTCAGTAGCTTCTCTCTGGTGTCTGGGCATGTTATGGCATAGTTACCTTGATCGAACACAGAATGATCTTGATCCGTGTCCTCAACATCCCGGTCCGCCGCACCTGGGTCAAGGTGGGCACATTGCCCACCTTCCGGTCCAGCAGCGTGTCGCGGCCCGGCCGCAGGTCGCCCGACTTCAAGATCGCGCGCAACGAGTTGGCGAAGAAGCACAGGCGCTCGGAGACGGCGGCCGGGATCTTCTGTAGATCCACCTCCCAGAAGGTGGATGGACGAACGGTGGCATGACGGCGCTGGGAGTTCACAAGGACGGCGCTGGGAGTTCACTAAGGATATACAAGGATTCATGACGAACAGCATAGGGAGTTGCAGGAGTACAGTATAGTTCATGACGATGTAGGTGATACAGCCACTGTAGGATACTGTGGTGTAGGATGCTTTAGGATTCATGACGATGCACCTATCACCTACAGTATCCTACAGTGGCTGTAGCGTGGCGGTTCAAGGCGCTGTGGACCAGTTGCCCCCCGTCTGTGTACCCTCCGGAACCTGCTGTGGGCCAAGAACCCGAGGGTGTCGTCTCACGCCACTCCAAAATACTCCAAGTACTCCAAAGGTCTCGACATGTTCAACATGTTCCCACCGTCAGCAGGTGAACAGGAACTCCCTCGCTGGCGGAGCGCCAAGTGGGAAGAACCTGAACTGCCTTGTCCAGACCCCCCAAATGCCCATTAAATGACTCATGACATCTCATGACCAATCCCGCACCCGACACGGAGAGTATCCATGACTTCGATCGCTTCGGTGCCTTCACCAAGCTGGAGCCCTGCGGCTTGCACCAGGGCTCCGTGACGAAGAAGGTCTCCACCGGGCAGCGGCGCATGGAAGGCGTGTCGAACTCGCCGGATTGCGTCTGCAAACGCATCCAGCTGCTTCCATCCACCGATCCTCAAAGCGGTAGAGTCCCACCAACTGTGCCGTTTCAAGGGTGGTGCCACTGCTGTCACTGGGGTGGCTGGGTAAGGCAAGGGTGTCACCCCCAAGCCTCTCTTTCTATATCTATAATGGCATTGGGATGCATTGGGTTTTCGGAAGTTTGGATCCTCCGCCCCCCCTTCTCCCCAGCCGAAGGGCCGTCGATCTCCCAGCAAACCGGATCGAATTGCCGCTCATCCCCCGTGGTCAGGAAGGAGACCGCATAAATGCACCTCGCCCAGCGGCGCAAGAGCCCCCCCCCGGAAAGAAAGCATATGCCATGTGCAACATGAGGCAAGGACAGGGGCGCGCAATAAGCCGGTCTTCTAGCGGCTTCTTGCGACAGTGGCTGAATACCTGCATCTACCTGCTTGATGTTTGAGATGTTTCAGATGGCGTAAGCCCAAGAAGGGGGACGAGTCGACCCAAATTGGGTAGCACGTCGATGGAATCCCTTGACTGGCGAAGACCAGGACAGAGGCTGAAAGTGGCACAGGCAGTCAGAAGAAGCACACAAAAACAACACTTGCCCTTACCTCCCCCCAAAAAAAAGAAATGGCACACACACACACACTCCTTACTTCACAGCTGAGTGTGCCGCCTGGGTCGGGGGAAGACGATCTCCACTTCTCTATAGCCTTCCGGATCAGCGAAGGACAACTCCACTGGGAAGTTGCTGGCATTCCGTAAGTTCAGCAGGTCTTCAGCCATGGAGTTCCTGCTGGGGCTAGTCCTCAGACCAAAATCAAACCCTGCGAGGGCATCTATATACTATTTATCCTTAAAACTGCTAAAACATTGGAAGGCTGCCACGGTCGCCCCTCCAAATAATACTTTTCGTTTAGGCCTATTCGGGCTCTCCCAAAACGTGTTGGTTCAAGTTCTTGGTGTGTTCGCTTTTGGGGCGTGGTCTGCAACACCTCTGCCAGCTCAATGATCTCAAATGTATCTCAGATATATTCAGACGTTCACAGCTGGCTCATGGTGGCCTGCCTCATGGTACCATCCTCCAGCACATTCCTGCGCGAAGCGCAACACCTCAAATCTCTTGCGCAACTTCACCGACCAGGATCATTCCTTCCTTCCCTCTGCAGGTCCGACACGGTCGCTCCCATCTGGGACCCAGTGAGGCGAGTCACTTCAATGGGCGCCCTGCGATGTTGAGGCTGCTCCCCCGGCTGCGCCTAAAGCAACGTGGCGCAGAGCGGCAGGACATACAGGAGCCACTCACGTGGGTTAGGATTGGTATGGATTGGTGGACGTTTCTGCCAAGGACAAAGCCAAAAGTTAGGAATTGCCTGCATGTGAGCCGGAGTGTATCTTACATATCATTTTGTGTATCCGTTCTGCAGCCCCGCAATGACCAAAGGCTCTTTGAACAATGAATACGAAGGATGGATTGACGAAAGTCCCCCCTACTAGTAGCGGTAAAGATCCATAAAGACACTGGGTGATTCTGGTCCAACTGTATAGGGACTGCACCAGACTGCATCTTCCTGCTTCCAGGCAGCTCTCTCTGAGGGGTGCTGGTGCCTGAACCTGCGAACGACAGATCGTTGGATCCGCTTCACTAAGGCGGCCGGAGCCTCCTAGGGCCGCGCGCCAAGCATGGCTGCAGGCTCTCGTCGCATTGCGTCTTGAAGTTAGATACACTCAGGGCAACATGCCACCCTAGCACAAACATAACTACACACACTAGAAAGATCTATTAAAGTATTGTCAGAGTCACAGACTATATATTAACATTAATATTCATCGTTCCCTCATCCTCTTTTCCATGTCATGCCATCACTCACTTAGGAGCCACCTCTTCTTCTCCCTCCATGTCTGCCAACTCATCCAAAACTGCTTCGTGCCTCCATTCTGCGAGGACTGGGAGAGAAGCTGCCAACCAGATTTCACGCCAAGGCCTGTGCATGGGGCGAACACCAACAGGAGTATAGGTCTCAAAGGGTTGGATGGAAAGCAGTGACAAAACCCAAACTTAACAAATTGCATCAACTCTTGTGGCATCCGCCTGCAGGCTAAATCTCTAAACCGACCGATGTAGAACAGAAGGGTCTTTTTGCGATTGCATGTGTTCGGGCTGTGTTCTATGTGGGTTCTGGTGGATTAAGGATCCCCTAGATCTGAAGCATAGAGTTTGGCAGTGAACGCTTTTGCAAAAGTCACACATATTCACCTGTCTGCCAGACAAACATTCTCCTTGGATGATCACTTTGACACTCCCTTTGACTGAACACTGATGTCTCTGATGTCCCTCCCCACTGATGGCCTTCTTTCCCAAAACCCCGACCTGCGGTGAACGACGCCAATTCTCGCGTTTGGCCATCGGGCCACTGCCTGGCACGTCTGTGGTGGCGATGAGCCGGTCATCCAAGACTTGCATCAGCTCGGTGTGCTGCACAGCCGACGTGACCTTGACCTCGGAACCCGGAACCCAGGGAGAGTGGGACTGTGGGTGTGCAGAAGTGTGCGTCAATGGGTCAATGGGTGAGGTGGTAGAAGTGGCGTTCATCCTGTAAAACTAAAAAAGGAAATAAGAAGGAAGTATTACTGTATATAATCCATCTTCAAGAAAACTTTGTGGAGGAATCAGGGAAACAAATTCCGTTTGAGGGAGATGCTCGAACACGGGAAAATTCTGATTGGATCTCTCAACTGGCTGCCATGTAGCACCCTCAAGTGGCTGCCTGAATGATCCTCATCCAGGTGGACCAAGCAAATCACTTCGAACGAGCCGCTGGTTTCAAAGCCACCAACCGTTCCCTTGATCTCCCATGTGTTGAGTGTATTAAGCTGACTTGAAAAATGCGCCAACCCTTCCCTAAAGGCCCCGCGAGTAGCCTTTTCACCCTCTCTGGCCGCTGTCCGTCGCAAAGTGCACGGGGAAAAACACACACACACAGTAGCACGACGACGCGTGACACACGCCAGGCACCAGGGCCGATCTGCGTGCAGGGCCCATCGCCGAGTGACCAACTTCGCAGCCACTTTGTCCACGCTGTAGCTTTCTGCATTGCTCCTTGGCCCATGCCTCACCTGAGCAATGACATCTCAAGCGATGTCAGCCAGACGTCAATGCATCATTTGTGGGTGTGTCTCTCTCGGAAGCGCTCGACCCACCCCACAAGAGATGGCTAGTGGAAGGAAAACATCGCTCCAGGACCCATTTTGTGGAGTTGACGCTCAGGTTCAGTGAAAACTGATTTGAATTCCATAGTGCCGGGGTGTCACGGGCCAAACCATCACTTTCGCACTTAAGGCCATGCAAAATGTCTTTGTCTTTATGCCCTATGCCCAGCCAACTCCCAACCTCTTTGATTGGCAAATCTATCAATCCAAACACAAGGAATTTCGGAAATGAAGCTGATGTCACAACTCTTCTCTCCACCGCCATCCCCTTGCCTTTTGGCTGAAAGTCGAATAGCTTTGATTCCGAGATCCAAAACTATACGGCTATATAATGCTATATATACATAGCTATAAATTACACGGAGCCTTTAACTTCGATCCTCTGTGGAGCTTCACCAAGCCCGTGGGATGGCAAACGGAAGTGTCATCTCCCAAAAAGGCTTCAATAACGTTGAACTTTGAACTTGTATGCTAACTGTATACACACCACCCACACCCAGATGAAAAATTACTTTACTTCGAAATTCCCCACCCTCAAAGAATTGGTCTTCACAAGAGAAAAGCGGTTCGGCGCGAAAAGGATTCTTTATTGAAAACAAAACCACACATCGAATACTTACTTGTGAGGTTTCTGAACTTCGATTTTTAAATGCCTGGCAACCCCACATCCCTGCCAAGTCAACTTGTGGTGGATATGCTGTGGAACTGGTACTTGGGAGCACTCTGGTGAATGTGCTGGTGTAAAGGCTACGCGGGCTACTCGGGGCCACTCTGGTGGATGTGCTGTGTAAGGGCTACTCTGGGCCACTGTGGGCCACTCTGGTGGATGTGCTGTGTTCTTTGGGTTCCACTCTGGTGGATGTGCAGAAGTCGCGAGTCTACTGAAGTCCAAAGTTCTTAAAATCTAACAGCCCCACAGTCCTGCGGGTGGGGAAAAAACTGCGTACAATACAAGTCTACAACTATCCTGCGATCTCTTTGGTAAATGTGCTGTGGAGAAGCTAGGTTGCGCTACTAAAAACTGTGGTTGCTGTGGACCAGCTAAGTTGAACTACTTAGAAATCAGTTTGTGAATGTGCTGTGGAAGAGCTAGGCAGCTAGGTTTAGCTACTCAGGGATCAGATTGGTGAATGTGGCATCAATACTTAGAGGTCATTTTGGTGAATGTGCTGTGGAAGTGCTACGTTGAATTACTCAGGGATTACTTTGGTGAACAGGGATCAGTTTGGCGAGCGTGCTGTGAAAGAGCCACTTTGGGCTACTCAGAGATCACCTTGGTGAACGTGCTGTGGAAAAGCTAGCTTGAATACTCAGGGATCACTCTGGGGAACGTGCTGTGGAAGAGCTACTTTGGGCTACTCCGGGATCTCTTTGGTGAACATGCTGTGGAAGTGCTGCGTTGAACTACTCAGGGATCACTTTGGTGAGTGTGCTATGGAAGAACTGCTTTGGGCTACTCAGGGATTACTTTGGCGAGTGTGGTGTGGAAGGGCTAAGTTGGGCTAGTCAGGGATTCCTTTGGTGAACGTGCTGTGAAAAAGCTACTTTGGGCTTCTCAAGGATTACTTTGGTCAACGTGCTGTGGAAGATCTAAGTTGGGCTACTCAGGGATTACTTTGGCGAGTGTGGTGTGGAAGAGCTAAGTTGGGCTAGTCAGGGATTCCTTTGGTGAACGTGCTGTGGAAAAGCTACTTTGGGCTTCTCAAGGATTACTTTGGTCAACGTGCTGTGGAAGATCTAAGTTGGGCTACTCGCGGACTACTTTGGTGAGTGTGCTGTGGAAGGGCTAAGCTACTCAGGGACCACTTTGGTGAGTGTGCTGTGGACAAGCTAAGTTGGGCTACTCAGAGACCACTTCGTGAGTGTGCTATAGAAGAGCTAAGTTGGGCGACCGGGCGTACTGAAGTCCGAAGTTCTAAAAACCTAACAACCGACAGGCCTACGGGTGAGAAAAACGCAGCTTTTGTTGGCTTGATAAGTACATTGCAACTCTACAACCACCTTGGAATCACTTTGGTAAATGTGCTGTGGAGAAGCTAAGTTGCGCTACTAAGAACTGTGTTTGCTGTGGAAGAGCTAAGATGAGCTACTTAGAAATCAGTTTGTGAATTTGCTGTGGAAATGCTAGGTTTAGCTACTCAGGGATCAGATTGGTGAATGTGGCGTCAATACTTAGAGGTCATTTTGGTGAATGTGCTGTGGAAGTGCTACGTTGAACTACTCAGGGATTACTTTGGTGAACAAGGATCACTTTGGCGAGCGTGCTGTGGAAGAGTTAAGTTGAACTAGTCAGAGATTACTTTTGTGAGTGTGCTGTCAAAGAGCTACGTTGAACTACTCAGGGATTACTTTGGTGAACAGGGACCACTGTGGAAGAGCTAAGTTGCGCTACTCAGGGATCACTTTGGCCAGTGTGCTGTGGAAGAGCTAAGTTGCGCTACTCAGGGGCCACTTTGGCCAGTGTGGTGTGGAAGAGCTAAGTTGCGCTACTCAGGGACCACTTTGGCCAGTATGCTGTGGAAGAGCTAAGTTGCGCTACTCAGGGACCACTTTGGCCAGTGTGCTGTGGAAAAGCTAAGTTGCGCTAGTCAGGGACCTCTTTGGCCAGTGTGCTATGGAAGATCTAAGTTGGGCTACTTAGGGACCACTTTGGTGAGTGTGCTATGGAAGAGCTAAGTTGGGCTACTCAGGGACCACTTTGGCCAGTGTGCTGTGCAAGAGCTACTTTGGGCTACTCAGGGACCACTTTGGTGAGTGTGCTGTGCCACTTTGGCCCATGTGCTATGGAAGAGCTAAGTTGCGCTACTCAGGGACCACTTTGGCCAGTGTGTTGTGGAAGAGCTAAGTTGGGCTACCGGGCGTGCTGAAGTCCAAAGTTCTAAAAATCTAACATACCCACAGTCCTACGGGTGTGGAAAAATCTGAGCATCCACACGCAAGTTGTGAAGTGCTCTGCCAGCAGCTTCGCCCGCGCCAACGGCAACAGCCGCCACCGAAAAAAAAAAAACGGCTTGATAAGTACATTACAACTCTACAACTATCCTGGGATCACTTCGGTAAATGTGCTGTCGAAGAGCTACGTTGCGCTACTCAGGGATCACTTTGGCCAGTGTGCTGTGGAAGAGCTAAGTTGCGCTACTCAGGGATCACTTTGGCCAGTGTGCTGTGGAAGAGCTAAGTTGCGCTACTCAGGGATCACTTTGGCCAGTGTGCTGTGGAAGAGCTAAGTTGCGCTACTCAGGGATCACTTTGGCCAGTGTGCTGTGGAAGAACTAAGTTGCGCTACTCAGGGATCACTTTGGCCAGTGTGCTGTGGAAGAGCTAAGTTGCGCTACTCAGGATCACTTTGGCCAGTGTGCTGTGGAAGAGCTAAGTTGCGCTACTCAGGGATCACTTTGGCCAGTGTGCTGTGGAAGAGCTAAGTTGCGCTACTCAGGGGTCACTTTGGCCAGTGTGCTGTGGAAGAGCTAAGTTGGGCTACCGGGCGTACTGAAGTCCAAAGTTCTAAAAATCTAACAACCCCACAGTCCTACGGGTGGGGAAAAACAAAACATGACAAAGACATAAAGACTTCTAGTAGGTCCAACCTCCGCCACCGCGCCCCGGAATCGACGACCTGTCATTGTCTGGCCTGCAGCCCTGAGATGCAGCAGCTTCGCCCCGCTTGTTTCCAAGAGCCCCCCCGCAGCTGGGTAGCGCGGAAGCGCAGCCGCTGGAAGCCTTGGCCCGCTTCTAAGGGCGAGTTGGCACCTTCATCATGGGTCTAAAATGTGTCAGACTCTAGTGATTCTAGAATGAGCTCCTTAGGTTTTCCAAGTGGAAAACTTGGATGAGCAACGCATTGTTCGACACACACACAAAGACACACCTCCAGGCTGATGGAAATGTAGGGCCTTAACGAATGCAAGACATGTGAAAAGGGCCACGATCGTCTTGAAGAAGTGCTTTATACAAAGGATTTGATGCGATTTGTTTGTGGGTCTTCAGTCATCATTTCACCAGGGGCCGATAAGGTCTATATATATATATATAGGTGGTGGAAGTCGTTGCAACCCTGGTTTGGTGGTTTGTCGTTTCGAAAGCCCGGGGGATGGATTGTTCAGAGCACATCAAAGCACCAGCGCTGATTGGGAAGCTGAAAAAGGACAGCCATGCCTTGCCCCAAACCTTCTGAAGGACCTGTGTTACTGGGGGCACCTATCGAAGGACTCCTTCGCAACAGGTCTTAATCTTCTCGTTGCCCCTTCCCCTCTTAAAGACTTTTTCATATCAAAGGCAGTTTAGAGTCTCACTCAGACTCTTGGACTTCGAGCTATCGTAGGTAAGCTCTCCAACCAGGTGCGCTCGCAACACCAACCGAGCGGCGCTGTGAGACCTGGGCGAACTCCGTCTGCGAGGCCGCCGGGTCCTTCCAACGGAAGGTCCGGGCTGCGTGCACCTGACTTCGGGGAACGCGAACGCGAAGCGAACCGCCAGACGCGAACGTCGCTCTCGTCTTCGAGCATCCGTCCGACGAAGTGGCAGAAGCGAGTTCAGCGGAGTTCGGAGTTCAGCCTCTGGGAACGTTCTGGCCCGTCCGGCATCCCAAAAGCGGGTTCAACTCATGGGAAGTGAGGGAAGTGATCGGAGGTCACCTCACAGGTGAACTTCCAAAGCGAGTCAGGTGGAAAAGTTCGTCGATGATGTGTAGCCACACCGGGGGGGCCAAGAATATGAAGGGTGCCAGTGCACAGCAAATCAGCGTTATTTCCGAAACTAGCCATCTCATGTAATATGGCAACGGGTCCAAACTTTCAAGCAATGGGGAGGTGTCGCACACCCGGGAGGTAGCGTACTAATTTCGTTTAAATATAATATTTGAACCACCGGCCGGTTGTTGTTAGTAGAGTCATCCTGCACCACAATCATGGAAATGCCAAGCCCCAAACCCCACAATGAACCGGTTCCAGGGTATTGCAGGAAATGGTCTATCATGGTCTAGCATGGTCTATCTATTTACAGTATCAAGGTATATATATATATATCAAGTTCCTCTTTTGGATGCGTCCGGCACAAAGTCTGCCGCTTACCAAAGCGAAAGCCGGCGAAAAATGCATTTCTGCAAGCAGCCATGTTGTTGGCCGCAGCATCTGAGATCAAACAATCCTCAGGGAAGAAGATGTTGGTTCTATGGTGTGGGTTAAGCATGGACAGCTGGTGCTAGGGGAACCTGCAGCTGGTGCTAGGGGAACCTGTTTACGAAAACATTGGGACTGGTCCACCTCACTTGCTCATTTAGAAGTCGCCCTCCCCCTTCTCATTGGCGCGTGATGGCTCATGAGCCCACTTCAAAGCGCCCACTGGGATGATCGAACTCCACCGCTCAGCAGGGCGTCCTCGTAGAGCGATTCCACCGCACAGCTCCAAACCAGCCGCCACGCGCTGCCAAAGATACATTCCTGCCATGAGCCAACTGGCTGTGAATCCCAGACTCCAGAAAAACATAGCTATGTACTATTTTATTCTTACCACTAAGGTTAAGCAAAGATACAAATTATACCACTCAGATACCACTCAGCCCAAACCTCAGCACACCTCGCAAAGCAACAAACAGCATTTCATCCGGCAACCTCTTCATACCTCTTCAAGGTCTACCAATTCACTTCAACCCCCCTAATTGAAAATTCCAAAGTAACGAAACACTCAAACAACGCCAAACCACTCAAAACAGCCTTAAAAGATGCCGAGCACAGTGAACCGATATCTGGCTCGGCCATGTTCAAAAATGACTGGTCAGGCTTCTGACGCTGAGAGTCCATGGCACGGCCATCACTGATGGTGCTGTAGGTGTCATGGTGATCTTGACGCCGGGTGCTGGCATCCAAGTCCAAGTGCCTCTTGTGACAGGCATCACCCGGACCGCCCAACACTGCAGACATCCATGACATCAAAGGATTGATTTATGGACCGCCCCCAGGCTCGTCTTGGCCTGGAGGCCCTCCTCTTTCAGATTCCCCTCAGCTAACACACTCCTGGTATCTCCTGGTGCTCTTCCTTCACTACCATCTTGCGCCTGAGGGCAGAGGAGGCCACATTGCGCAAGCCCCGGTGCTCACCCATGGCATAGCCACCGATCCTCGGCTTCGACCGATGCCAGCCCACGGAGGGCCAGATCCAATCTGTTGAATGTAGATGCTTGATTCATCAAACATGTAGCATGAACAGGTTGTTCAATCCATGTCTTGAGGAAGGCTTTCATTTGTCAACATTCTGAGATTCCACGTGATGTTGTGCTCCTTTTGCTGCTAGGTCGTGCTTAAGAACAAGTAACAATCCCTGTCAATTAAATGAGACCCAGCTGGCGGCAGCTGGCGGCGGCTGGGAATGTTTGAAAGTGAAATCACACCCACGTCAGTGGCCAGAAAACCATCTTTGTGCCAGTTGTTCCCGCAAAGACCATTGAACACAACTTTATAGCAAGTCATCAACATCCTATATATCATCATGCAAGTCCGATGTTACGTGCCTCACAGGCTACCTTGCCATGTTGCCGGGCAAGCTAAGTATGCAGCGTTTCAGAACGCTTGGGCGGAATTGGATGGTTTGGGACATGGCTTGACCATGGCTGGAACAGGCGTCAAAACGTCCGAAAGGCTGCAAGGCACGGACGACATCAGGACCATTCCGCAGCCCACCGCCGCAAACAACAGGTACCATGACCAAGTCTCCCGATCACCAAGTAGAAAAGGAAGTGCCTCAAAGCTCGAGGCCATGTACAGTTGACCCAGACTGCAACTTCAATTCTCTTGAAACAGGTCCGAATTTGCTCTCATGAGTGTCAAAGACCATGCCGCCCGTTCTCTTTTGGGTGTGCCTATATGCACCCCCTGTCAAGCAATCGAAAAGGAGCTCCTGTGAACGTTCCGAACGACCCAAATGCGCCGGGCCACAGGTCCAGGAAGGCCGTCATGCCCACCAAGAGGTAGATCGTCATGACAGAGAGCACACAGGCCACCTATCTCTGGTTGGGCATGCTAGGGTTGGTGGTTTTTACACTACTTACCTTGGTCCCCCACTGACAAACGTCAACAAGGACATCAAAAGCCACATGGATCATCCTCGAACACTATGCGAGGATGACTCTCTTCTTTGCCTGTGCTACATAGGCCTACGCTTATTCTTGCCTCTCTCACTGACTCTCACTTCACCCTCCTTCCACGACCCCCAGCCCTGGTAGCCCCAAACAATCCGCCCCGGAAATGCTCTGGGTGCTGCTCCAAGCCACGCATTCCGAAGGAAAGGGGTGGACCGTGAAGCCTTCTAGGTCGGCAGAGAAGGCGAAGAGCCGGTCGGAGCAGGAGTCTCCACAAAAGCCGCTGAAGGAAAAGCCTCATCAGCTCACCGTCCAAGGAGCAGACACAAAATGCACAGGAAGTGGCCCATGTTGAAAAAAGATCACTGGAGCCCATCGGAGCAAGCTGAAAACCAGTTCGACCCCAGGTTGCTCTTCGGATTCACAAGCAAATCCCACAAAAACATCCAAAAACTCATGAAACATCCGACTACATTGCACGATGGCTGCAAAAACAAAGAAGTGGCATGGCATCTATGGGAATCGTGCTCGGGCCATCGTCGACATGTGGTCGACATGGCCTTTCAATGCCTGGAACTTGCATGTGGAGTAGCTACTAGCCATGCCAAATATTGCATTTGTTCAAGGTTTTCCTCCAAACATATGCTCTAGGTGCCTTGACCCGGGGGGGTCATGGTATGTCTAGCCCAACCAGGCCATACCAGGCCTGAGACCAACGGCGCCACAAAGATTACCTCAAAGGCAAAGCACCTCAAAACACGCGTTTTGATGCGTTTTGCGCGTGTTTTCTCAGCCGATCCATTCAGCCGAATTTCGGCAGCTCCCAGCTGAAAACATGTGAGAGCCTGTCTAACGTAACGGGCCGAGGGAATGCCAACCCGCGTTTGGCCTGAGTCGTAAGGGAGCAAGCACCAGGTTTGGTGGTTGAGTTGTAGGGAGAGGGTGGAGAAATCAATTCAAATTCCCACATGTCTTCCTTACTCAATGGGTCTTTGATGTCGTCTTCAAAGAACTGCTCCCAACAGAAGCCTAGCCCACAGGTATTTGTAGTACTTCAGGTGCGTCTATCTGGGTTTGAGTGGCTGAGAAACACAAGATCGCCAAGGCACAAAAGCAGCACGAAGAGCCACACAAAGAAGGGAGCGCTGCCCTTCCCCTCCTCACGATGAAAAAGAGAGAGGGATTGCCAGGGATTGCTGAAATTACAGCATAGAGTTTGAGGGAAGTGAACCGCCTTCAAACATCATCCCACCTCAAGCCCTGTCGCTCGATCAAGGCCCTTGGTTTCGCTGCCCGGACCAACCCGGGCCGGCCTTTCCAATGGGCCCAATGGGTGGGTCGGAGACCACCGTCATGAAGGAGGCCGCGCTGTTGGTTCCATCCTGCACATCCAGGCCACACCGGCACCGAACGAAACACAAACACGTAGTCTGTTCCACAAACCACGTGGTCTGTGCTGCACCTTCCTAATGGGAGGATGCGAAACAGGTCAGCACTTTTTTGGGGTCAGAACACCACAAAAATCCAAACATTATCTTCCGTTTGGATGTTTTGTTGGGCATCCACCATGGGCAAACGGTGTTGTTCACCATTTTCGGGGGGCGGGGGCTTGTCCACCTCAAATCGGTGATGAACCTGAGTCCTCTCTTCACAAGAGCTTTGGAAGATGTCCGGCCCAGGGGCCCAGCGACGTACGGACCGTGCAGTTCGGCTCAGGGTCTGAGTCGAGAACATGATACACTTGGAACATCCAGAAACTAGTTTCTTCTTCCTTCCTCCAGTTGACCTTCAGCCAACTATGATGGAAAATAACATGAAGAAACCCGCGGAAACTGAGTGATTCGTGGTTGGGTCGTCTCCCGGTAATACTTGGAGACTGGAGACTTTTTGTCAAAAACAGACTTCCCCTCCTGCGAGAGGTTCGCATCAGGCGTGCTCCAAGCACGTTGCTTCTGCAGGCTCTTCGGCGACCCATGGACAAAGGGGATGTCCGTGCGTCGGGTAATCAGCAAGAAGAAGAACAGTCGGACCACCGCATAGCCGGCACCTAAGCGTGGTGTCACTCCACGCAAACCACCAAAACCAACTGGGGCGGCCTTGAACAGAAAAACAAAAATAAGTTGGTTAACTTATAAAGTTATATAGAATTGACTTATTATTGGCAATATAAGTAATATATATGCTCTCAATTACCGGGGTCATCAGCTACAGCGACTGCACCCGGGGGGCACACCAGCCTTCATGGTTTACCCATGTCTGCCCTTTGGAGGGTACTGCCCGAACACTCTTCACAGTTTCTTGACAAAACGTGCCCAACCGGTTTTGAAAATAGTCCCCGGCCACCGGTCAAGTTTACGAGCGAAGACCGGCTAATTACATGAGAATACCGCATGACGTTAGGCCTACAGTAATCAAACATCTTGGACACAATCTGTTCTCTCAACATGTCATCAACAAAAAAACCAAAGAATAAACTGAAAGATGTCCACCAAAACGCACCTGTGCCAGTTACAAAAAAGCTGTGAACATGTTGTCCGTAAAATCTAGATATCGAACAAACCTCCAGGGAGAAAGAAAAGACCCGAAGACCCAAAACAACCCAAAATGACCCAAGGCACAAAAGCTCAAGGCCGTCGGATCACTGCAGTCCGGGTTCTGCCGGTGCGGCTGAAGAAGCTGACATGGGTTGGTCCAGTGAATGATATGTCCCTTGACAGCACGTGGTGATATGACAGCTCCCGAGTCATGGCATTAATTCCCGGTATTTCCAAGTGGGGTGGCACCTGGGAATGCAGTTGGCTCCATATCACGTGTAATTGGCCTGCAGTTGGGGCATCCAACGATGCCAAAGGTGGAACCACACTGGTGCAAAGAATTGTTACATCTGGACTCCAGGCTTGGTAGTTGCACTGTAGTTCCCGTAGGGTGCTCCAATACATGTGGGCATAGACAAACTCCATGGCCCCTAAACTATCCTAACTTACTTCCAATAGCACTGTACAGCTTTACAAATACGATCAAGCGTGGAGTGTCCTTTGGCGGCCGAAGGCCATGGTAAAAGAAAAAAGTACATGGCATGGGTGTTGCATAAGTCAACAGTCTTTGTTATCTCAAGCTCCTGCGAAAAATTGCTAATGTATATATAATATACATTAGTAGCTGTTCGCAGGAGCTTGAGATAACCAAAATAATATAATAGTCAATTATATAAACATATATAAACATTCAAAAAACAAGTGAAACAATTCTGGAAATGCTGGTGGCAAAATCATAGAAGCCTTCAAGATTCCTCAAAAAGCTTTCAAGATGGAAAATGCGTCAAATAGACCATACAGTACACGCTAAATTGAAGCCTTTGCACTGCATCACTCACCAAGCTCTCACCTGCCCCCACTCCCACCCGCGCCTTGGAGAAGGTCTCTTGCGGCGTCAAGTTGCACAAGTTCTGCCCCACCTGGCCCACCACCACCATGGCTCCAAGGCTCACCACGCCCACGATCAAGGACATGAAGCGCCTGGTGGTCCCCACGACCGGCCGGAACAACGCCGACGTCGGTCGAAAGGTATCTCTCCCGAAGTGTTGGTCGTACTTACTAGGCTATGTGGGAAAAGATCACCGAGCATCCCTGGAGTTTCAGTCTGGAAAGGCTGCTCATACCCGCCCGTGTGTTCTTAGAACATCTTAGAACTGTATCACAACGCAACTGAAACATGGACTGCAGGTGGGCTCCCCAACACAGGCTTCTACAACTGAAAGCGTGACGAACAGCACCCGCAACCGCCTGGTGGAAACTTTGTCTCACAAAAAATCGATGAAAAAACACCCCCTTTGAAGAATGGCTCCAGAACACCGAACCAGACCCACATGGTCAAAGCCCTAACAGGAACAAGCAAAAAGCAGCAACTATTAAATTATCTCTCTCTCACATGTGTATGAACATTATCTACAGACATGTATACCAAAAATAGTTCAATACAGTTCTGCAGGTGGTCTGTCAATTCAACAGTTCACCTCTAGACATATTTAAATAAACTTTCATAAACTTTCATATGGTAAGGACAGCCAGAATCCTTGATTTAAAAAAGTCAAAAAAAACATGAGTCTAATGGAATCACAAAAAATGACAAATCAAAAAAAGAATGAGACGAAAACGTCTAAAACAAGTCCAAGAAAGTCAAAACTCAAAAAAAAAAGGTCGTATAAAAGTCAAAATGTCGGATCTGGTTTGCTTTGACTTGTTTTGACTTTCTGAAACTTTCTGATTTGATTTGTTGTGCCTTTAACTTTTGGCACTGACTACTATGTTGACTTTTTTGGACCTTTGTGTAACTTGTTGAAAACAGGCTCTCTCCAATGAGAGTTGTTTTTAATAACTCTAGACCCCATGCCCTTCATCCTACCGATAGCGCTCCGCGCGTCCCTCGTCCTTACCTGCGCGTCCAAAGTCGGTGCGCGCGCTTCACGCGCGACTTGAAGCGCCCGGGGCTGCGGCACAGGCGACGTTGCGAGAGGCCGTGCCAAAGCAGGCCCAGCTCCGCTAGCCTCGGTGGGCGGAGCGGCTGAGCGGCGGAGCAATCCATCGGCACGATGGAAAACGAACGAAGGAGACAGTTCGGGGGTGAGCCAACCATACCCAAGAATGTGCCAGTCAATTGGAACATCTCTCCCACCGTCTCCCACTTACACCCAGCAATGTAAGAACATGTAAGAATGCAGAATCATCTTGGAGTGGCCAGTGACCAATAGACATGACTCATGACTTAACACATCTTAATGTGAGTTTTGGAGAAGTGACACCGGCGATCATAGGCTTTTTGGCCACATATATAAGGAGGACCTTTGGCACACAAGGACTGAGGCACCAGGTGGGGCAGCTCAGCACCGGGATATGGTCTTTGTGGAAAACACACCCAGCCATTCAAAAGCCACCTGCGCTCACATTCTTGACAGGAACATTTTTTTGTTCGGATCCTTCGGCAGTCCCGACAGGCGTCGACACCGTGAACGCCAGAGAGTTGCAACCCTCAAAGGCAAATTTTCCTAGCTGCGTCACTGACTGTGGGATGGTCACGTGCGCCAAAGAGCAGCAATTCGCAAATGCACCAGGTTCAATATGGGTCACTGAGTTTGGGATGATCAAATTCACCAAAGATCTGCAATCTGCAAAGGCACGAACCCCAATACGGGTCACTGAGTCTGAGATGGTCAAGTTCACAAGGGAGCTGCAACCTTCAAAAGCATAATCCCCAATGTGGGTCACTGAGTTTGAGATTCTCAAGTGCACCAAGGAGCTACATTTCCGAAAGGCAGCCTGCCCGATGTGGGTCACTGAGTCCGGGATAGTCAACTTCACTAAAGAGCTACAATCTGCAAAGGCACGAGTTCCAATCTGGATCACTGAGTCTGAGATGGTCAAATTCACCAAGGAGCTGCAACCTGCAAAGGCTGATCCCTCAACCTGAATCACAGACTTTGGGATTGTCAAGTTCGCCAAAGAGCTGCAACCTTCAAAGGCAAAACTTCCAATGGAAATCAAGTCTGAGATGGTCAAGTTCACCAGGGAGCTGCAACCCTGAAAGGCACGACCCCCGATGTGTGTCAATGAGTTTGGGATGGTCAGTGTCGCCAAAGAACTGCAATGCTGAAATGCAGCATTCCCAATGTGCGCCACTGAGTCTGGGATAGTCAAGTTCGCCAAAGACTTGCACTCCGCAAACGCATAATCCCCGATGTGCATCACAGAATCCGGGATGATCAAATCTGCTATAGAGCTGCAACCCCCAAAGGTATGATCCCCAATGTGGGTAACTGAATCCGGAATGCTCAAGTTCGCCAAGGACGTGCAACCTTGAAAGGCACAATCTTCAATGCGGGTCACTGAGTCTGGGATTCTCAAGCTCGCCAACGCGCTGCAAAACCGAAAGGCTTCTTCCCCAATATGGATCACTGAGTTTGGGATGGTCACACTTGCCAAAGAACTGCACCCAGTAAAGGCGAAATTCCCTATGTGGGTCACTGACTCTGGGATGGTCAGTCTGGCTAACATACAGCAGTCTCTAAACGCACTCTCAAGAACTTGAACTTCATCATCTGGGAACTCAACTATGAGTAGAAGTTGGTCCACATCAAATTGGCGATGAAAGCTGCGCATTGCACCTTTGTTGTTGCATCTCACTGTGTTAGGCTGGAAAACAACACTCACAACCGAATCTGCAGCAAGGCCCACATCCGCCACCGTCTCATCATCGCCAAGCACATGGTCTCCAACAACAATCTTCACCCTGGTAGTTCTGCCAGTAACCTCGTCCCAATGCTGTTTTTCTCTAATTTGCCACTTGAGCTCTCTACCTGTTGTGCCTGGGTTCACTTCAACACGAATTTCCATCCCATTCACCTGGAGCGCTGAGATGAACATTGCCATGGCAAATTCAGAATCACTCCGACCAGGTTTGTTTTTTTTCTCTTGCTTGCAATGTGTTCAGTTTGCTACTGTAATGTGGGCACCATGTGATCAGCTTTGCACATGTTGGCTCCAAAATGCCACAGCGGGTTGCAAGTCCCATTGGCCAATCTAATTGGCCTCATTGTCACAGACTGGCCACCCAATACATTGAAATTGATACGCCCCAATCCGGAAGGACAACACAGTAGTAGTAGCAGCAGCAGCAGTAGTAGTAGTAGTACTAGTAGTAGTAGTAGTAGCAGTAGTAGCAGTAGGAGGAGTAAGAGTAGTAGGGGTAGGAGTAGCAGCAGGAGTAGCAGTTGTAGTAGTCGAGTTGCAGTCGTAGTTGTAGTCACAGTTGTAGTCGCAGTAGTAGTCGTAGTAGTAGTGATGGTAGTAGTAGTAGTAGTAGTAGTAATAGTAGTAGTAATAGTAGTAGTAGTGGTAGTGGTAGTGGTAAAAGTAGTAGTAGTAGCAGCAGCAGCAGCAGTAGCAGTAGCAGTAGTAGTAGTGTTAGCAGGAACAGTAGTAGTAGTCGTCGTGGTGGTGGTGGTAGAAGTAGAAGTAGAAGTAGAAGTAGAAGTAGAAGTAGTAGTAGTAGTAGTGGTAGTGTAGTCGTAGTAGTAGCAGTAGTAGTAGCAGTAGCAGTAGCAGTAGTAGGAATAGGAGTAGTACTGGCGCTTAGCAACAGCAGTGGGAGGAGGCGGCGGCGGAGGAGGAGCACCCGCAGGAGGAGTAGTAGCAGTAAATAGCAGTAGCAGTAGCAGTAGTAGTAGTAGTAGTAGCAGTGGTAGTAGTAGTAGTAGTAGAAATAGCGGCAGCAGCAGCAGCAATAGTAGTAATAGGTTCCTTATCTTCCCAGGTGGCCCAGGACTTACTGTTGAGGTATACCGCCCAGGTTCTGGTTTGCTAAGGTTGATACGAACCTCATTGCACAAAAACGTGGTTTTCCCCACTTTCATGCAATACAGTACAACCCAGAATCCATAGACAGAAAGTCTTTGGAAAGTGGCCTCAGCAGGGAAGTGTGACAATTGGAAGCACGGCTGGAAGTCTCGATCACTTGAACCAAAATGTCTTAACACATTCATTCTGAAACCCGTTAGGTCGCTTTATATAGATCCAGTTACTTGGGTCCTGCAACTACATGCAGCAGCATGCAATTACATCACTACAATCTTGTTAATATACCAAACAAAAGCGCATAATGTTCAAGGAACTTGGCACCTTAAGTTTCAAGTTGAGGGATTCTTCCACTTCTCCCGGTTTATGAATGGACCAATAGGCCAAACGGTGACTTCCGGGTCTGCGAGCCGAATTCTGGGCAACGACACGTTGCATGACCCCACAATCTTTATTTCAAAAACAGCCGACTCAAGCAGTGCAAATACCAAATGATACGAACACATCTCAGAAGAATAACATACAAAGCCGCCTGTATTCGCTGGAGGCACAACCACACACTCGAGATATTGAGTACGGAAAGGACTTGCGGCTTGCCACACGCCAGCCTAAGTGAAAACCTAAGGTACCAGGGTAAAGTAAGTGAGAGTAGGTTGGAGGCCATTACATCAAGCTTGGAGGCCAGCACCTCCAAGTCGGAGGTCATCGCAACAGGTGGGAAGCCATCACCGTGGTTGGTTTCATGCGAAACCAGACTCACAGCAGCAAGACTCTCAAGGCTGGAGGCCATCACTAGTAGGGTGGAGGTCATCGCAGCAAGGTTGGAGGCCAGCAAAACTCAAAACACGAAACGCAAGTAACAGAACCATATGAACCATCATGAAAGCAAACCACGGCGAGAACAACAGGGAACCTTTTGGCGGGTACGCTTGCACGGGCCCCCGCCATTTAAAGACCAAAAAGATCCCCTGTGACTCCAAGGGTTCCACACACACACATGCACACGAGCCGGCGCACACTCACACATACACACCAAACAACCTCCATCTCGTCCAACTCTCGGTCACGCCCCATACGAAGCGGATTCGGACTCCACACGCCCCGCGGCTCGCGGCCCCGCTCCCGTCCGAGGGACACCAACAGCGTGGCATCCAACAGGGCCATGACCTGCACAGCATCGGAGCGGCTCTTGCGAGGCGCGAAGAAGCTGTCGTTCTGGTCCGCAAGGCTGCCCAGATGGACGTAGAAGGCCAGGAAAAAGACCCACAACTTGATGGTGAAGACCTCAAGAAGGGAAGCGGTTTGAAGCGGTTTGGTGTAGGATCTGAGAGGTTGAAAGCTCCCGACCTACCCTACCTACATGTACATCTGGGGGTAGATGGTCTTCCACACAAAGGGGTGTCATGGAGGGAAGACAGCCTCAAATGGAAGATGCGTTCCCTCACTACCAGTGATGGGGTCATTCTGGAGCCAACCCTTTGAACACCTTTGCGCCAACCCAACAGTTAGCCACTAGCCTCTTTCCAAAATATTCCAAATAGAAACCCTAGCCTCTGAAGGACACCTTGACCAGCAGCTCTCCAACAAGGTCTCTGAAGGATAGGTGTTTCGAGATATCCACCATTGGCGATTCACCCGTTCCACCATCAGAACCTTAAACACGCCAAACAAACCACACCGGCGATTTGAAAGGGGTCACCAACGGAAGCCCGGAAGCCCTACTGATGGATCTCCATTGGACACCCCTTGAAGCTCTTTCCGCCCTCCAGCTCCACTTCCGGTGTTCCTTCCCCCCCCGCAAGTCATCCCCTCGACTCGGAGTAACACCCTCTTCATCCCACCAATCGGCAGGGCCAAAGTTGTCCAGCAAGTCATACAGGACCCTCCAGGACCTCAATCGTGCCCCGCTGCGATGACGTGGTCCGACTTGCGCAGGCATCGTGGCGGTCGTGCCGATGACGTGTGTTTGTTTTTCTCCTGCACTCTGTCCATTGGCTGCAAAACCAGTGGTCGCCCCGGTGCACCAGTTTCGGTCCCGAGTGAATGAAGACGGAGATCATCATCCAGCGTGTATAATTTGTTGGATTTGGGGACCATTAGTAATTACCGTCTACTCTCAACTGACTCTGTGCAGATGCTGCTTCCTCATCGCAATGTGTCGCTGGCTAGCTTCCATTCAGACACATTCATTGCGAGCGGACCGTTTCCTCAGCTGCCCACACCGATTCCAAGAAAGTCTTCTGGATGCGCTGCTGATCCAGCACCCTGGCTTCACCCAAGTCGTTCATGTCCTGAGAGGAACGCCCTTGCACAATGCAGAAGTCCGCCCGAACGGTGATCTTGCGTGCAAAAACTTCTTGATGTGTAGCAAGAAGCTTAGCTTAGGGAGGAGCTGCTTAAACTTACTATTGGCTAATTGACCCGACCTCTTGAATCAACCAATGCAGGACACTCCAATAGCACTTTGGTGCTTCGGTGACAGGAACTGATGGACAACAACCTGTCATCCAGCTCATATGTCTACAGTATACCAACAGTCCAGCTGGTAAAGTAAGGGTAGAAATGTCATAAATCACCGGTGGTTCCCTACTGTCAACGGGATACTATCTCACTCCAGCATCGCAAATGCCAATGCCAAGTCTCATCGAAGTTGATTCCACCTGTGAAAGGGTTGGTGTTCTTCCGCATTTCGTCCACCCCCGCATGGAGCAAGTCACAGTCCTAGGCAGCACCGAAGCTGGGGATGATTGACGTATGTTTCGAGGGTGATTATAATATAGCCACAATTCAGACACTCTCTCCCGTCAGAAGCCTGACTGAAGCCATGTGCAAATGGCTTATGCATCCGGGGTTGTAATTATTGGAAAACACCACGCTCAGTTCGTCCAGGTTGAAGGACAGCCAAATGGAATTGCAAACAAAATGCCAGTGCTTTCCAGCCTGAAAGTTTGCCAAACAACGAGTCGGTCATTTTAACCACTCGTCTGACGAAACGCTTTCCCAAGTCAGTTCAAAGGCTTGGATGAGTTGAAGCCTGGTCGATTGCAGTAGCTGCTCCCGAAATGGCACCACTAAAACCGGAGCAACCACGGTGCCCTCACCCAGTCCACTTCATCCAGCACCGGTGTTGATCCCAAAGCCTCCCGGGCATTCCAAAAGACGCGGACAACCAGCGCCCACTGCCAAGCCACCAAGGTGAACGAGGTCGCCTCCCGCAACATCGCCTGAGCACTACGCACCACGCAACACGCACCACGCATGCCACGCGTGTTGGGCTTCCTGTTCAAGGTCCCCGGTCCGAGGTGAAAAGAACAGGTAGAGATCGGAGCAAGAAGAATCTCTGGACTTCCACAACTTGATTCTTGAATTCAGCCAAGGTCCTTGCGATTAGTTTGGGTCTACCTATCTCATTCCTTTCCGTAGCTAGACAGCCAGCAGCCGAGGCCGGGCGGATCGATTTCAAGATGATGGCATTCGCCCTTAAAGACCCCCCTTACTGCACTTTCAAGATCTTCAAATCATAAACTGATCTATACACAATCTGAGGACATCTTGCTTCTCCCAACCTCATCTGAGCCGGGAACATGAGGCCGACCCGCTTCCCCGCCCGTCCGACCTCCCCCCACGGACCTCGGCCTCGGCCGATCCGGACCACGGCACGGTGCGGTCGTCGTTCGGCTGCGCCCAGCGAAGCTGGTGGAAGATCATGGCCAAATACTCGGGGGCGTGCCTCGTCCGGAGGATCCGACCACGCCCAAGCAGGTGGTGCGTAGGTCGACCCTTGGAATCGCTTGGAATACAAGGGGAAGTGGACCTCGGCCCTCGGCAAAATGGACGGAACAAGCTCACCAACAAAGATCCTGATCAGTTGTTGCTTTGCATACGCATGGTGTGTGATGGTGCGCGCAATGGAATTAAAGCCGCCTTAGAAGTTTGTGTACCTGCAAAACCCGGTTGGCGAGAGGCTACGTACATACTCCCACTCAAAAACACAACAGCACCTGTACCCTCGCTTTGCCGGCTTCCCATGGGCTTCAGCGATTCGGCGCATCTAGGCAAGTCTGAGGGTCAGTGGGGACAGGATCTGGTCTCATTGGGAGGGCATCCTGAGTACCTGTATTGAAAAGCACGACCCAATCCCAAAAACATGTCGAAGACCTCTAAATACGGGTTTAATAATAGGCGGAAGGGATTTGGTTGATTGATGTTGATTGTCTCATTCTCCCTTTGCCCCCGCCCTACCTCAAGTCACACCCATAAAAGTCGGTGCTGAGTTGTGCCCTGTCAACCAGCATGTGGTGCCCTTTAGCGTCCTTGGCCCCCGCACAGCGCGTGCTCGGAGAGGCTCTCGATGATGCGCAGCAGCACCTTTTTGGGCCGCTCATGGTGTAACTTCCACGTGGGTGAGAGAAACACAACAACATGCGACGACTGGCAGATTGGAGCGTCTGCCATCTGGTCACCATTTGAAGAGGCGCTCATCGAACGGATCTGATCCGTGACGTGGGGTCTAGGCGGCAAGTCTCCAAAAAGTACACAAAACTCCTCTCCAAACATGGCGTTCCATGTGGTTGCGAAACATCCTCTTCCAAATTCAATACCTTTCAAAACCCTTGGCAGTGCGTTGACCTGATTCTTTGGAGTGTATGAATGGCGAAGTAACGCAAAAACGATGTAGGAAGGGGGTCGTCGTACTGGGGAGCTTTGAGGTTGTGATTTAATATCTCCCATCGATGTGAAAATCTTCATGGCACCTTCAATGCGGTGTCCTCTTCTATCCCACCTATTCAGCCCAGGAGCCGCTTCAGTGAAGAGCATCCAAAGAGGCCGCTCCACGTCGTTGTCACCCAGCAAAGCCTTCAACTGCAAGTCCTGGAGGCGGCCATTCAGTAAGCCCAAACTGGGTACGAATTCTTTGTCCTCATTCCATCGGCCCAATAGGGAGGGGCCCATAGGCCAGCTCCCTCAACACTTCGCCTTTTGCCCCCCCTGTTCGCCCTCTCCTTCTCCCTCAAGTCCCGCTGTGTTTCAAGCCACCTGAGCCCCGCTCCGGACCGACGCTCGACTCACCGACTCCCTTGAATTCGCTGCTTGGACCAACTTCGCACTGGGGCGCCAAACGCTAAGTAGCCTTCCAAGACGCGCGCGTGAATGTGCACCATCGCCTCATGTTCCGCGTTCACGCGCAGCACGCGCGGTCACGGGGCGAGTGCGAGTGCGGGAGCACCGGTGCTGCGGCCAACACGAGATGAACAAAGAGTCCTGTGGAGGGACGCCGGAGGAGCGGTGGGTCCCCGGCGGAATCGAACATGGCACGGATCGAGAGGTTCGTCCGAGAGCGAGAGGTGGTCCCCGACTGGCAGACAGTTGCCATCGCCCGATGTGGCGGTGGACTGAAGGCACGTCACAAGTGCTCTGAACTTCACTTTGTTGGCACTGTATGACTGCACTCCTCACTGCCAATGAGAGGCGTTCAGTCGTGTCAGCGCCATGGGTAAATGGAACTAAATGGAGCTACAAACATGATCGGTCACAACCAAGTCTGAGCGCCAAGCTCTTTTGATGCACTCGGACTCTGCTAAGCCATTGCCCTCCTCATCCACTGCTCTAGCCTCAGCCTCCACCTCACAAGAGTTCAACTTTACAAAGGTCGAGCTACGACGATGTTGGCTCTTCAATCAACATACGCACACAGAGACACACATCCCTTTAATTAACTCAATGCGTGTCAATGAGACGAGAAAAATCTCGGCCGAACGAAGAGTATGGCCCCAACCATCTGGGAAAGTTGGAAATGAGGACTTCTTCTACCAGGAGGATTTCTTAATAGGAACGTTGTGTGGAGAGGCGTGCCACCAGGAGCCGTAGATCTTCCCGGCTTACATCAGCTTGCCCATTGGATGCTTCATGTAAGTTAAGATCCTCCAGCAAATCGATCTGTGTGTCTGGGGATGTGGGGAATTTGCAGTTTGCCCCATTGCCCCAAAAAGTCGATCATAAAAGATATCCCATTTCTCTTAAAAGCCTCAAGGATAGTGTTCACACTCTTGGTAGAAGATCCAAGGATACACTCTGACTACCTGAAACGGAGATGGACAACGGCCGTTGGGATGACGATTTCTCTACGAGAGATCAAAAATGAAGACTCTTGATTAACAATACCCCCCTTATGAAGAGGTGTGTCAATTCAATTGGGGGAGGTTATCAATCAAGAGTCTACATTACAAGTGTCATTGATATTGATATTGGCTATTGGCCTTACCCCGTTCCCTGTCCAACGGCACGGCGAGTTTGGCCTGGAGCCTCAGTCGTCTAGATTGCGTCTTCGCATGCGTTTCCGCGAAGAATCCTCAGGCATCCCGAGCCCAAAAAACTGCCACACGCGAATCACTGACTGTGGCCACAAACTGCAATGGAAACTGGTCCTTCGTCTATAGGGATGAAGAGCTTCTTCCACGTGAATCGGAGTCTGTGTTCTCCTTCTACCCGTGTCCTGTCAATCATTCATGTATATTCATGTTTGCAACCATTTCAAGTAGAATGTCCAGCTACCCTAGTTCATCTGAAAATGAAGAAGTGGCCCACGCAACGACCAGAAGCGAGCATAAACACCTTGACCGAGGTCATAGCCCGAAAACTGCCAAACCCCCCCAGGCGTAAAACATAGACTCGATAGACTTAACAATACTGAATACACCTTAACCATCCTCAACCCCGCTGTTTGGAGATCCGGCTCCGTGTTCCGCGTTCCGCCCCAAAGGGCCGATGGCCAAGTGTCTAAGCGCTTCCGTGGTAAATTGCACCTTCCCTTCTCGCACGACTGAGGCGCGGAGGTTCAACTGCACCTGTTTGCGGGGGGCGACATGGTGGGACGGAGGAGCCCGACATGGTGGGACGGTGGAGTGGAACCGCAGGGACCCAAGGTACACTTATGTAACACTTTGACTCACGAATCTCACGAACATAAGAAGTCGTGGATGGCATGGGCCCTTGCTGGTCAGACGGACTATTGGAGGGTGAACTCCACTTCCAATGGAACGTGAGGGGTGATGTGTAGTGATGGTTCTTGTGCCCCCACGGTTTTGATCAGGGCCCTGCTCGCACTGCGCCTGGCAGGCAAACAAACAGGCCAACGCACAAGGGGTCGAGATGTCGGAATCGAACCACTTCAATATTTCCCAGACACTCCATGGGACTGCCATATATGCCGTATATGCCTACATTGGGGTGGTTTGGGGGGTCAATGTAGGCATATATGGCATACATGGAAGGTGTTTGGGTTTTCGTTTTGGAGGTCCCCTTCTAAGCTTGACGGGACTTTTTCGGCTCGCGTGTACGATTCATGGTCTCCCTGGCAGCTTCGCTGTGCGAGTAGGACCAGTCTTGACCGACACAAGGCCGGGCGTGCTTGCAAACAACGCTGGCGGAACACCCCTTCTTCCAAACCAGCGCACCCCACGTCGACCCATGTCCTCTCACAACAAGGGTTTCTCCCTCAGTTCCGCTTCACGGGCTAAAAGGCTCTGCAGCTCTTCGCCTCCCTCCGCTTGCAGTGCCTTCCAACGCCGGTGTAACTCCTGCAAGGCCTTGGCTCCTCGCAAACCCTGCTCCTCCACCTGTTTGCGATGGGGTGGTGGTGCTTGGAACTGGCGCCGGCATGGCCGTGGATCCCCATGTGTTTCTGCCTTTGTCGCGTGCGTTTGAGGAAACCTGGTCACAGCCCAACGAGTCCAAACACTCACAGAAATTGTTGACATCTCCAGGGTTGGACACTAACTATACTCAGTTTATGGGGCCGGTAGCCGTGCCTCTGGACGATGTGCTTCTTGGAAGAGCTGCCAGGCCGTTTTTGGCTTCGCCGCCACCGGTGCCTTGGGAGGCTCCAGCTGTACTGGCTCCTCAGTTCCCGCCAAGCGCAGAAAGCCTGGATCTTCCAACAGCCGTGCTGGGGAAAAGCCTCAGTGAGCACCCTTCAGAATCAGTCCAACAATAACCGGCAATTCCTGGGCCAGTGAAGCCATTCGCGTTTCCAACAGGATATGTTTTGCTTTCCGGGTGGTGCAAGAGCAGCGCAACAGGATGTGGAATCTGGACAATGAGGCCTCCCTCTACTAGTCTTGAACCCAAAACTGTTGGGCCGTTCAGGACCTTGATCTGCTTAATTTCTGGAGCCTGTCAAGGTGTTGTGAAGGTCAAATGCTAATGGTACAGGATGTGGAAACAGGATCCACAAAAAAATACGTACCGTAACGACCCCCTTGGAAATCGCAAAGATTATACAACTTTGAGATTTGCATTGTGTTGAGACGGTTCAGGTTTTGTAAAGGTCAAACGGCAAGCCACTGCAAACCGGGCCGCGCGTGTACTTTATTTATACATGTAGCAACTATATCATGTATGCAACAAAAACATACGTTAAGGTAGGACAGTGATGAAAACAGAATGCTGATTCAAAATGAAATAGACTAAGCCGGAAAAGTGAAACACTTCAGACCAAGGACGCTCCAAGGGATTCACCAGCAGCATGGTCCTGCACACCACTTGGAGAACCTCCGAGTCACTCACCACTGCGCTCACTGCGCTCGTCTCCTCGATGGGATCGTCCACCGAGCCCAACCATCGAAAAAAGTCCATCAAACCTTCTCCATCCGCACTTGCAGTGCAAAAGTGCTCAAACTTCTCTTGCAGTAAGGGTTTGAAGAGCTTCATCTCAAGCACACCTTGGATTGGCTCTGGAAAGCCGTCACACATCGTCAAACATGTCAAACCTAAGCCGATTCACCCATCTTTGTCATTGTCACTTTGGGAATTACAGAATGGCCAGCAAGGAACGAAATCAAGTATTGGTGTGAGTCTCAGAACAAGGAAGTCCACTAGGTAGGGGACGCCCAAAGTGCATGGTGTCCATCAGGAGGGATTGAAAGTTGGGGGGTCCCTTTGCTCTTTTGAGGCAACATGGACATACGTGGACGAACCACGATCAACTGCTGAAACAAACCCAGGACACAAAGTCCTCCAGCCCAAATATCCAAACTCCGCGAAAGCCTCAAAGGACCCTCCTCCGCCACTGCTGCAGCCAGCTCCGGTGCAGCATAGATGGCAGTATAGAAGTCGGCGTCCCTGATACGCGAGTGGCTGCTGGCGGGGGGCACTCATCCAGCAACGGTTGGGCAGAGATGGTCAAGGGAGTGTTTGGCTCAAGGAAGCTCGTGAAACATAATAGGACATAGGATATAGTAGTTATACTACTAGGGGCACACTTTGCGTCCGCTATGCATTGATGACATATCGGGGTTGGCCGCTAGTGTCCTGTCGGTCTTCCTGAAACACACAATGACGAAAAACGCCTGCAAACGTGCACAAGTTACGTCAGATTAGCCATTTTTTCTCTCCACACAATCAATCCCTTTTGGCTTCATGTTTGCCTTGTTCACCACTATGGCTGCAGAAGTACATCCCGCCTCATGTCGACCAGTTCGGAAGGTACGCGCAGCCCATCCATGTCAATCAGCTTCCAACGACCCAAGGTTTCGAACCACATCACGTTCTGAGGCTTCAAGTCCCCGTGGACGAAAAAGCGACTGTGCAGAAAGGCCAAGGCAGCTGTTATGTGATGCAAAGCTCGTGTCAACTGCTCCTCAAGCTCGAGATCAGATCTGCAAAAGTTGAAGAAGAGGCTACGGTAGGCTACGGTACAAAACGCAGCTCCAAAAAATTTTGCGAGGAACACCTGGCTATCGCTCACATCGCTTGTTTTTGCTCGTTGGCCAATCCCCAACCAAGTTGAGGTGCTGATCACTGACCGAGTCCTTTGGTGCTGTTTGTTGCGCTTAATTAGCGGAAAGGTCATCCTTGCAGGTTTTGTGACATCGGTGTCCCACTACATTGTTCACCGCGCTTTGCGGCCAATGCACGCCGCTTTGTCAAGCTCTTGGCATATAGATGATATCCAAAAAGCACATGCATATGATGTTAGTATATAGGCCCATGATCAAGGAACTGTCCCATTAGTAAGGTCCGTCTTTTTTTCTGCAATACGTACCGCCTTATTGTTGACACACACACACACACACGCACACCTTCTGGCCCATTTGCCAAAAGTTGGTACCCAATAACCCCCACCCTCCCCAATTAGTAAAGTCCTGCTTCCTGAAAATCCTGCAGTACTGATCACCTCTCTTCCCTTTCTTCAACCTTTTATTAAGTTGTTCTAATTCCATCTGATTACCTAGGAGGATTTAATTCATTCATGAATTGATCAATGTCCGTTTTCTCCTCCAACCCGACTTCCCCAAAAACACCTTTTGCTCATGCCTTGGGATCCCTCGTAAAGAGAACTAAGTCTTTGGGATCCTACCTCATGATGGACCCCGAAAGAAAATGGTGGTTTCCACTCCAATTTGGCTCCCCAAACCCTCCGACGCTCCTGGGGGGTATATAAGTCAAAATAGGTTTACAATAGATTTAGACCAAGCCAGGCTGCACAGAGTCACTCAAAAGAGGTCAATTCTAAACCTTTCCATGGAACCATGGAACTGGGAACTTCAGCAAACTTGCTGGCTTTTGTGACCATCAGAACTCCTGCCTCAAACACAGCAAAACAACCACTTCCGGAGCATTGTATACAATCAGCCCCAGTACAGAACACACCCTTGCTCCTCCTTCTGCAAGCAATGCAGTTTCTTGTCCCTGGCCGCATCCTTCGCAGCCAGGATCAAATCATGAAGGGTGAAGGTGCCAAGCTCCAGGACACTCCACCTCAAGAAACCCTTGACTCTGACTCGCAACTCGGACTCCCAACTATATAAATGCTCCTAGGCCCTAGGTGCACTGTCAACACTAGAGTTACATGCTTGGCGTTCGCCTTTGCAATTTCGTGACAGTGTTCCGGATTTCGCTGAGATAGATGTTTTGAAAGCCACCAAAAAATCACAAAACAAGGGAGACCCATCAATGTAGGTTCTTGATTGTTAACCCCCTATGCCCTATGCAAAACGGTGTGTCAATTCAAATGGGTTCCTTAATCAAGAGTCTACAATAATTAATCATTTTTCGTGGTTCCACGTTAAGCTCTTCCAACTCCGCTGGGGCACATCTCCTCCGAAGCCGTCAAGTCTGAATGCGCCAAAAGCTCCACGAAGAACTCCTGAGGCTTCGAGGCCAGGCCTCTTTGTCCATACTCCTCCGTGCCCATCAGCACTGTGGGTGATGTCTGATATCTGCTCCTCGGACTGACCGAGGAAAGCTCCCTCGGAACCAGAAAGAGCGCCTCGAACAAGAAGACCTCCCGTCGAAACTTCGCCTGGTCGCACGCTTTCAGCGCCTTCACTGCCACCGCCTTTCCTTCAAAAGTGAGGCAGGAGGGAAGAAATCGATGATCGATCGATGTCTATATCTATATATGATCATATCGGATCAATGCATTCCCTAGATTCAATATTATTCCATGCATCAGGCTCCGGCAACGTCCCCCAGTTGCATATCACGTTAATTCCTTGGAAGTGTCTTGCTTTTGGGGGGGCCAGATGTTCAACTAACACCAAAAAGTTCCAAAAATGGATTGAATCAGCCACAAGTGTCCGGTCGAGATCTCAACACCTCTCCTGACCACGCTGAAGTTCCCGACCCCCAAGACATCAGTGCCTTGCACAGTAAATCGTTCCAAGACCGTCTTACTCCAGGCCCAGTTCTCCTCAGGAGAGACCTCTGAAGCGTTTTGTGCTGGCGGAATGCCCGACCCTTCAGGCGGCCCTTGGGGCTGCCCATCACCTGGAGTAGGAAAAGACATGGGGAAGAAAGACCCCCCAAAAAATCTCCCAAATCAGTATTTGATGGTAATTTCGAATCTTCACCAAACATCCATATCATACATCTCGAGAGCCGTCAAATGCAGGTCGCGTCACCGGAGAGGCAGGAACTGGCTGCCTCCGGCGCAATGGAGGCTCCACAGCCCATGTCCTTCCTTTGGAAGGAATACCCATGAGCTTCGAGCCGACAGCGGCGCCACACACGGCTCAAGACAGACGTCACACCCTCGGAGCCAAACGCCCCCGCCCTCATCGAGGCGGCGCCAGGCGGGCGCCCTCGTCGGCACCGGGGGGTTCCCCCGTGGGTGTTGTTTCTGGTTCAGGCCCTGAGGTGCCAAGCGACCTTTTTGTTCATGGGTCCGATGTGTCATGATGTGTCACCAAGGGACGGCCTTGGGAGTTTCCACATCTTCGCTTCGTGGAAGCGCTTCTTGCCATCGCGTCTTGCCATGACTCACAAATGAGTTTCATGATGAAACTGGAGGTTACTGGCCGTATCTGCACATCTTCATCACTCCATCTCCTGAAGTTCCTTTGCATGCTCCATGGTGCACCACACATAGTATAACAAAGCAGCTCTGCTCATGCTGACTGCATGCCTTCTGAGAACTATGTTTCTGGAAATGCCATTATAACATTGACTTCCGAAACCTATTAGCCTGCGAATTCCTGTGAAGCACCTCAACACCAATGCTGGCTGATCGACATCATCGTTTGCACTCATCAGATGACTTTCTCCGATACTATATCCCAACCAGCACAACAGGCGTTGTGAATGATCAAGAAAAGGGCATCCAGGCTCTTGCGGTGCCGCCTTTTTGTAAATGGAACGGCCATGAATGTATAGTAGTATAGTATGATATACTACATCACGCTGTCGGTTGGACTTGCATCGTTGGAAAGGGTTCCCATTCGCTAGCAGCCTCTACGATATCTTTTGAACTCACGGCGACCACGGGTGTTTGTTCACAGGGCGCATGGATCATGGATCTTGTCCTCCAGGGTTCCGTTGTGTCTTGGAGTTGCGTTGCTTTTGATATGCTGGTCAGGCCCTGAGGGCTGGTCAGGCCCTGAGGGCCGGTCAACATTGACTATTCCCCAAAGCTCTTTCCCAAACAAACGGCCTTTTTGGTGCCATGACCAGGTCTGCTTTTCGATTTGTCTGCGGATCCGGAATCACCCAACATCTCCACTAGAACACACCGTATCCCAGTTCCAGGGCACCTGTACATTGGCTTCCCCCACGATCTGCATGGGCAGCGGAATGAAGACCTCTGCCTCACGAAGACGCGGCGTTTGAAGAATTCTGAAGACATCCAGGTGCATGACAGCGGGTAGAGATCAGATGAAACGACCAAGTGGAACTGGCCTAGCCATGGTAAAACACCATGAAAAGTACTTAACCTCAAACAAACAGCCTACAACAAACAGCCCCAAAGAACCTAAAGAAACAACCCCTCTGGCACGCAGAGCTTGGGTCATAGCACCCGGTTACCTCAGCAAAACGGGGCAGAGTTCACCAACCTGAACATTTGGATTGATAGGCATTCGTAAAGGTCAAGAATGAAGAAACCAATCATCCAATCTCAAGTGCTGCCTGTGCAGTTGCCACCTCGAAGCCGTTGGGCGCAGCCGCGACACAGCCCAACTCCAGGGAGATGACATCCCTGGCGGTGGGTTTTCAAACCAACCGGAGCCCTGCTTGACCCTGGTAGGTTTGGGTCGGGTTGACCTCCTGACACCTGACCCATGCAAATGTCGGAGGTCGTGCTGGCTGTTAGAGGTGTCAGAGGGCTTCGGAATCAAGTTGCATTCAGTGGAATTGCCTCAAGATCGGCAGAATGGAACTATATATATATAGGAAGTTTCACAAAAATTCTAGACCAGCATCTCCAGGATCCGGCATCAATAAACTGGCATACCTCAAATGTGGCCCTCCACTTCCGTTGGCTCAAACAGATCGCATGTTCCAAACAAGGTGGTTCCCACCCTCTTGCTAGCCTTTTCAGGGAAACTTGGACTCTTCGAAACAAGCCATGACGTGTTTCGAACCACCATCTTGCAACCGTCCATTGGACCGACGACCACGGTCACGTGAGAGGACCACGGTCAAACTCGTGCGACCGCAGACTCGGCCGCCTTCCTTCGCCGCACTCGGCATCCAGTAGGCCATTGCCAGCCTGTGAGGCCGGCGGGCCGGCGCGGGACTGTGACATGGAAGACAGACTCAAGAGGGTTTTTGGGGAGAGTGCCGGGCGACCTGTTGCCATATCAAGAGTAAGACAAGAGATATATTATATGGTGAGATGTGTATATATATATATATTGTAGCATTATATGACTATAGACTATATTATATTGACATATGTTAAACAAATTAAATTGTGTTACTTGCTCACACACTTTGCATGACATGATATGACAATGCCTCCTGGTGGGCTCAAGGAAGTACCTCCACGAAGGATTATGCCAGTGTTATGACTCACAACTCATGACTGACAACAACCATTCTTTTTTTGTGCCTAAGTCAAGCTGCTAGAAAAATCTCGAGTCTGGTAGCCACGTGGGCGCATGTGGATCAAGGAAGTCCTCAAACGATCGAGCACTTGCGGGGACGTTTCTGCTGATGAATACATTCCCAGGAGCTCCCTCCCAAGTGCTGGGAGCTCCCTTCCAAATCCCGGGAGCTCCATCCAAGTCCCTGGAGCTCCCTCCCAACCACCAGCAGTTCCAACAAAGCTCTTGCAGTTCCGCTCCACATCTTCCCCAGTAGAAGTGCCCCCCTCTTTGCTTTCCTTTGACCCCGCTGACCGCATCCGACCGCATCCTGCCATGCTGTGCCTGTTGAAGACGCCCCAAGGGTCGGCTCACATTCGGGCGCCCAGATTTGCCTGCGCTGGTGGCACCCAACAAACATCCGACGTCTTCTCCACCAGCAAGTCTTGCCCATGACCGAAAACAAACAATAACAAACAGATTTTACTCCTAAACTCCTAAACTATGGGAAGCCCTGGGGTTCTGAGGGCCTCGGAAGTTGCTTTGCCCACTGAAGTGGTGGTGACATGGAACATATTGTTCATTATTTTTCTGTCCATAATGGCGAACCGACCCGCGGATACTGGAGAACCTCAAATGTTGGTAGCGGTTCTACGTAATAGTAGGGATTCATGTATATCATGTATTGGCAGAGTATCATGCTTTTGTTTGGTTGATGTGCCGTATTCACAAAACACGCACCCGTGCGCAACTTTTGTACCAACTGAGGATCTCATGCGATGCAACAGGAGACAATCCAAAACAACAGGGACTTGAGTACTCCAACCACAATCTGCTGGAGCCGCTGGATATCTGGTTCCCATCAACTCACGAAAGACGTCTTGGGGAAGGCCATGGTTGTACTCCTCACACACTCCCATCGCCCATCTCTCCAAGGCGCGGAAGCAACAACAGTGACACAAGTAGAAGATCTCCAGGCAGGCACCACACAACAGTAAGCCGACGTTGAGAAGGAGAAGCCACCAGCTCTCATGCATGACGGCCTCGAGTCGAACTCCGCCCTCGAGGCCCGAAGTCGGACGGCAAGCCGAAAAGAACACACTGCCCACACCCACAGACAAACCCATCCGGGAGAAACATGCTCAATTGTTCCGTCACCAAGCTGCACAATAGCCTCCAGGCAACTGCTTCCAAATCATCTCTTCCGCTGATTCAGGGTCAATCATTTGTTCGAAGCGAAAACCCAATGACCCGATAGTGGAACCCTTGGTGGGATGCTCTCGATGATAGCGCGGATCAAGGCAGTGGAAGCTCAGGAAGGTGTACTGACCATTTAGGCCAAACCACTCCTGCAACTGAGAAGCCGTCGGACAAAGCGCACGGCCCCCGGGATGTTGTGGACCCCTTGGGGGAATGCGGACCCATTTTTGGGGCTCCAGTTGTACCTCCTCAGAAGGTATTGGGACCCTCCAAACCCATCCCAAACACCGTCTGAGAAGCCCCTTGGAGCTGTAGGGTATAATGAAATCTTGCCTAGTTTAATGTCAACACAGGATTGTGCAGACAGTCATCATGTCCTTTGGCCGAACCTGCACCTGGGCAAACCTGACCAGGGCACCAAGAGGTTGCCCCTCAGGACGGACCAGGCCACCGGCACAACAGTGGACGGGGAAGGGCTGACAATCCCCACATCATTTTGTTCGCGCATGAGGGCAACACGCCTATAATAACCGCCCAGCCTTGCCGAACACACCCTTGCTGGCGCAGGCCTTTCGCCAGGGCATGTTGTTCCTTGCCAGAACCCCCGCTACTACTCAAGCCCAGGTCCCCCTGGAAAAAAGAAACATGATGTGTTTTCTATTCACTTATTTATACTTTTTTATTATTCAATATCTTTTGGTCGATGGTGAAACTGATCTTCCAATCCACCCTTGTCTCATGCTATCTCTTTGAGAGAGATAGCTCTCGTAGTTCTCGTGGTTCAATCTCTCATGATACAGAATCCCATCAAACATCATCCATCATCAGGTCCAGGTCCTCATCTCATCATCCATCATCAGGTCATCATCTTTATTAAGGGGATGTGGTCTGCACCTAAACCTTGTTGACCTTGTTGACCTTGAAGGGGGGAGGGTTGATTAATCCGGTGTCGACATTAAGGTCGTGACTCACCTGTGAGGGACGAAACGACTCCTGCCCGTCCTGGTTGATGGTGCGCCCTGGCCGCACTTCATCGCAAGGTCCCTGGTGAGGGTGCTGAAAGACACTGCCCGGACAGCCTCTCTTCACCGACCGGCCCCAATCATCCACCCACTCGTCGATGATGAATCCGCCCTCGGCACAGCTACTGGAGTTCAGGACCTCCGCGTAGACTTCGCCTGAAATACCAACGAAAAGGGGTGTGTACGATGTCATTACTATGTACAGAGTTGGCTGAGCTTTGGAATATATCATCAAACTACAGATCGCAGTGATGGCTGGGTCACAAGGAGATGCATGGAAATGCTACCTTCCAACCAATACCTGACCACTCGCCAAGTACGCGACACTCAGAAAGCACGGAGACAGGATGCCTGTGAGCCTCTGCTGCAAAGCTGGGTCGACAGACTCTGTGGCCTTATTGAACTCAGGTACTGATTCAGGTCCATCTGGTCCGCTTCGGTCCACTTCGGGATTTGCCGGGGCAGGCCAGGTCCATTAGGCTTGTGATGGATTCCACTAGCTTCATATTCGTCCATCTGCAGCCAAAGGTTCAAGAGTCACAAGCTAAGCTAAGCCAGGCATCTCCAATCTAAGACAATGATCTGTTCAGTCCCAAATTGCTGGAGATTTGTGTTCCCACTATCTTCATCTCTCGTCATCGAGTGGAGTGGGGTGGAGGTTGACCTCATGGATCCACCCGAACCCCATGTTCTACTGCCGTTGACCTCCAAAAAGGTTCCTCTTCCAAAGCCCAGTGCGCTTCTTGATGCTTCTGGCCCTTTCCCTTGACCAAAGGCTTAAGGTTCCGAGACTCAATAGAACCCGTCTTCGAGGAAGTTCGATGAATTTTTATCCTATTCCATTCCATCCTTCCTTCTACAGTACAGCACGAGCTGGACGGCAACATGCAATCTTCTGCATACAATATAGGACCAATACAGGACAGACCTCTAAAACATTCTAAAACTAAACCAAGTCAACAAAACTGAAGGCACTTCATGTGATCAAGTCCTAGCCCCCACTAGCCGCTAGCCCCGGAGATCCTCCGCCTTTGCCCCAAGGAGCCGAGCCATAGAGGGGCGCCTCAGCGGCGAAGCCGTACTGCGCCAAGACCAGCTTTTGCGTCGGGTAGGTGCATCCTGAAGTGGCCAAAGCCGGAGGGATCGGGAGGTCGTCTTCGTCTTCGGAGGTAGCGCGCGAAGAGTTGAACACTCGAACAGCCTGTTTGGGGGGATACTTTGTTCTGAGGCACCTGCCTGAGGTTTGGCGGCCTGGGATACCGGGGATGACATGAAAGTGAGCATACCCAGGTCGCCCCAAATTTAGAAGCTTCCTCCTCAAGCACCCTCTTCAGGCGATGAACTGTGACGGAAACGACGGTCGACCTGTTGGGTTGCCAAAGCCCTGACTCTTCCAACACAGAGGGTGCGATGATCTTCAGCCCAAATCCTTGGGGCGGCTGTAGCAGATTCAATCTCACCCCTTCTCGGCCCCTTCACGTGCGTGATAGGCTAAGCATGGCGATCGGTCGGCGCAGCGATGATCGTCCGTCTGGCCGCTCCTTTGCATAAAGTGGCACCCTCAGGGTTCTGCAGGGTTTGGGTGGACAAATCCTTCCACTCATAGCCGCTGTCACTATCGCCAACTGTCGCCTAGGCCAAGCGGATGGAGACGCGTGGGATGTTGGTGCGTCCTGTTAAAGCCCAGGCCAAAGCCAGTTGCTGTGTGCTGCTATAGGTTTTGCATAAAGCTGTGCATGTTAGCAAAGATAGTAGTGTCTAACCAATTCCAGCCGGATTTGGCTGAGCTGGGCAGACTAAACCAGTCCACTCATCAGGTGAAGTAAGATTAAATATGCCTCGTGCTTTTGGACTGGAGCGCACAATTTCCGCCCCCAAGGATGAGCTGAGATACTCTTTTCGGTTGAGTTAATATAGTAATTCATAATATAGTAATTCTGGATAATTCGGGATACACCACCTGGACCTCTCAAATTCACTACATGCACGCTGAAACACCACATACACCTTCTTCTTCCATCAACCCTTCGCTTCATGTCACTAGTGTCTCAGATTCTCAGCGCCAAGTCACATTAAAGTAAGAGAGCTGACCTAGGAGCTCCTTTTGACCCAACCTGCCCGTGGGCGGCTGGGCTTCTGCAATCCACACATCGAAGGCCCCCAAGGGGCGCAGCTGATTGAAGGAGCATTCGTTGATGGCTAAGGAGAGCTCGTCAGTGGGCCAGGTTCCCCAGATTGTCTCCTGAGTTGCAGCAGTGAACGAGCGGCCCGCGAAAGAACCAGAGGCAATCAGGCGGCCCACGCTCATGAGGAGAACCCAACAATCTGCGTACTGTTCGATTCTGGATCAAGTCAGTGACCAGCCTAACCTCAATTGATCTTTGCATGGATTTGCTAAAGTTATCGTTTTTGGGAGTTCACTCTATCGTTTTCAAACACCTGCCAAATGGGTGCGGCCACACTTTTACTTTTAAATCTCGACCTCAGCTTCTTCACGTGTGGTAGCTGAGCACCTACACGCAATAAGCGATGAACCTTTTCATTTGCAAAGATTTCTCTCACAAATCTCTTCACATCTGGGCCATCCATCACAAGAGCACATGTCTGTTCAACATGGTTATCGTTTAGTCGTTTAGTTACAGTATCATGGTTATCGTAATCTTTCCAATCTTGATACATCTTGGGGAAAATAACGTGGGAATTCACATGTTTGCAAGAAGGCCTGGAACGTGCGAGACTATGCTCTCTACAACATGCTACGAACATATTACATAATTAATATAGGAATGGTCGGGGCGCTGTTTTCGCATGGGAAACGTGTCCATGTTTGAATGCTACACTACCTGTTCCCCCATTCCATGCACCACTATGCTGTCAGGAAGCGCAGGTGCATGAAGGTGCTGGTCTAAACGCAGTATATACGTGCTATCACATCATATCACATGTGATTCCAAGGTTATCGTTTTTGGGAGTTCATATATCGTTTTACAGGTCGAAATGCATGTTTTCAGTCAATCTGTGCTCCAATACTACTCTGCTTGACGGAGAGTTTAGCCTGTTGCTCAAGTGGATCAAGAATGATCAAGAGCAAGTACAACTACCAGCATCCTCCAACAGGTCACCAATTATATAGAGACATCTTGAGACCTGGAAGATGGCTAGTTAAATCAGCCTAGTCTTCCAACTACTTCCTAGGCAGTCTGAGTCTTATCACATACCAACATCACATCCGCACCCCCAGACCATCACATCACCCCTTCGGAGGAGCATCTGCGAAGCCGATGTACCAGCCCACATTGTCTAAGCGTAAGACAGAATCCAGCAGGAGCGGAATGCCTACTGCTCGCAGCGTCGAGGCATCGTTTCGTCCGGTCGCAAAGGCGGGATCTGGCAGGAGCAAAGGTGTTGTTTCTGGGATTTTCTTGGCATGGTTGATTTGTGGATGATCCCCAATGAGTTGGATTTAGGATGGGGATCGCTTAAATTCAGATTCGCTCCGGCATGTCAAGTGAAAAGTCTACCTGGATCTTGATGTCTGGTGGGGTTTTCTCATTCCACATGCAAAATCTTAGCCGCCCATTCGTCCATTGGCAATATATACGGTAGTCCAACCGTCCACCCTGAAACCCATAAGAGTGTCAATGTCTTAAGTCTTGATCTAAGACTCCTGCTCATCGTTCTGATTCCGTGGAACCTCCTTACCTCGAAGCATACAAATCCGCACAAATCCGCACACCTTATGACTTGTGACTCCTTTCTTCCAATGTTCTTCAGCTCCGCATGTCGTCTCCCCCCCACCATAACCCACATTCTCGTCTCGCCTAAGGGTCGCTTGAAGCGCTTCTGTGGGCATGAGAGTCTGGAAGACCCACACTCCTGGACCCACTGCGCTTCACGCACGGCACGCAAAAGCTCAAAATACTCCTCGGCCGCCGAGGAGTCTTCGGTGCGGCGCATCGGAAAGCACCGGCACGGCGGCGCAGGCACGGTGCCAAGCACCGAGTGATGGTCGCGAGGAGGCCGGCGTACTGCGATGTTTTTTCAAGGATCTGTCCGATGTTCCAAGGAGATTTGTCAGAACTTCAGCGAAGCACAGGACGACCAAACCCATATATACTCATCATTACTGTCATGTTCTGCCATTCTTGTCTACATGTCGAGAGTCTAGTAATCAAGTGAAATAACCCACACCTGGAGGCTCTCCCCCAGGGTCCCGTACCCACCACCACAACCATCCCCTGTTGCCTGCCCTCACTCCCCCGTAAGCAGATCGCCCACCGAGGTGCGTCGCGAATCAGGGAGGTGGCGGCCGGCGACCGCGGCCCCTCGTCCGTGGTTTCATTCAGATTGGGCCCGAAGTTGACGCTCCACATGAGAATGAGCCCTTCCATCTTCTCGGCATCCTGCAGCGCCTGGGCATCAGGAGGAAGGAAGAGACGCCTTGAAGAACGGTGTTGTTTGTGGTGCTGTGGTGCTTGTTGTTGTGGCAATCGATGCTTACCCCCCAGTCTGATGGAACATGTATTCATTTCAAAGAACGTGGTTATGAGGTCCTCTCAAACACCACTGACCGCTCACCCCTCACCTCACACACCCGGACCCACATCCCTGCAATCATCAACCTCTCTCTCAGTTGTTTGACCCGGCCCCGAACATCGCTCCACCTGCACCATGAACTTCTGAAATCCTTCCCAAACCTCCTTGGCCCGCAAGCCAAAGGCTGTCGTCCTCGGTCGGCCGATGTAACGCACCGAGACGCCGAAGGACAGTGACGTGAAACGCACTGTCAAGGAACGTGGAGTGCCTCACCAAACCCACCAAAACACAAAGACTACACGAGTGTGGGCGGAGCAAAAAAGGGGAGAGAGTCCGGAGAGAGGACCCCCAATTAGTGTGTGTCAGCATGCATGACTGCATCAGCAAACATGGAACACGGCGGCCCATGAAGACTGTTGACCGTTTATTTCTACCGGCCTGACCATTCTTGCTTCAGGGCGGACAATCACATGCTCAGATACAGTTTGCCAGCGAATCTGTGCTTCAACTGGTGCATGTTCTGCGGGCGGCTCGGATGACCACCGAAATGACCACCGAGAAGCCGTTCGGCATCGCTACGAACGGAGCAAGGAAGCTACGAACGGGGCGCTCCTGGCCATACTACTAGGATCTACTAGGAACATCTAGAATCTAGGAACAAGAAGGTACTAGGAACAAGGGCATCGCGAAAACAGAGTCCTGGTCGCTGTCTGCTGCTCTAAGACCCTGGCAGCCTCGCACTCTCGCTGAGGAAGAAGCTCAAGTCGAACGAGGGAATGACATACCTGGACTCTTCTGCGGGAAGTTGTGCCACATGAATTCGCATCAACTTGTCTGATTGCCAAAGGTCTCGGGCAACGCTCTCTTCTCTGAAACTGATCAGGACGCAGCCCTGACAACACACGCAAACTCAACCCCCCAAAAATCAGTAAAAACATTGCAAAAAACATGCGCAAGGATGATCTTGGACGGGTTTACCTCATTTACCTCCTGAGATTCTTTGCAAAACAGAACCCATCCTCTGTTTGTTCGGCCCCGAAGTGACGACAAAAACCATAAACGCCGGAACAAGAAGAAAGAAGGAAAGAAGGACAAACCGTAACCGAAATAAAGAAAAACATGAAAAAGGAACCAAGTCCTAAAGCTGTCCCGATGTTGCATCCTGATGTGGCCATCTCGCTCAGCAAATAGAGCTGGTTTTGCTTGTGCAAACGCGAAGCAAAAACCTGAATGGTGGACATTAGACCCCCTCATCCACCTGGAATTCCTCTTGTTTCGCCAAATCCCAGCCAGAGAGGTCGACCAATTCAAACGTCTTCTCTCTCAGTCCTCTTTGGGTGGATAGTCAGTCTTCTTTTCATGCTCTTTGCCAGGTCACAAGCCATATTTTTGACAAAGCTTCAGGAAACCCGAGTGATCCTGAGCTGGATCCCACGGTGCCAGTCGCACCGCGTTGGCCTTCAGAATCCTCCTCGGTCGGAACGGTGTCTAACAGTGCGAGTTCCGGGCGGGGCGGGGATGGGGGTGAAAACAGTGCCGTCTGGAGACTGGATTGACCGAAAGGGCTGAAAGTATCCTTGGAGCATTCCTTTTCCAATGACGATTCTGGATGATTCTGGGTTGGGGCCTGAGAAGAGGAATCGTCCTTGGAGTGGAACTGATGCGGGGGCTGGAAAGGTCAGGGGAACTTGGCAGTCATGGTGTGAATCGAAGTATAGGTCAGTGTCACAATGTCTTCCGATACCAACATACACACTTGATCCATCCAGCAAAGGCCACTGAATACTTCAGCACTCTAGAAGCAAAAGTTTTGGCAGGACTTCGTGCTGTGCCGAGAAACGTTCCCCCAACCTCAAAGCCATTAAACAACCTGGCCTAGAAGAAAAGCACAGGTTCGGGATGGTTCGGGGACAGGGTTGATTTGAAGGGGGAGTGGGGAGCAGGCAAAATTCTAGTACTTCGAAGGATCGCGATTCCTAAGTGTGCGCGTGTGCGTGTGTGTGTGTGTGTGTGTGTGTGTCACACCCTGGTTCTAAGGGTTTTCCACCTTTTCACTTT